CCACACACGTCAGATAAACGTGAACACGGTCTGGACCTGAACACGGACACACAAGAGGCTCGTGAACACAAAAGTCTGCTTGGGAACAGTGGCTGTGTGTTAGGGTTAGCTGAAATGGAAATGTTTGGGTTAAACAATCACTTCAACCACCAACTCACACACACACACACACACACACACACACACATATATATATATATATATACATATATATATATATATATATATATATATATATATATATATATATATATATATATATATATATATATATATATATATAGGATAAGTAACTACGATGTTGAAAGATTATAGATTTTGTTTGTCAATGCACCATTGTTTTAAAAAATTGTAAAATTATTTATTCCTCTAAGTGTAATTAAACTGTTTGTATTCATGTTCACGGGTAAGTATATAACAAAACAAAACATTCACCATACATAATATAATAGGAATAAACAACTTTTATGATTGTTTATATGTATACAGCTATACACTCACAAAGAAAGTTAACCTATATGCAACTCCATATGTAACCAGTTTCATTTTTCTGCTTGCCGTACGATTCGATACTTTCTTGTTTCATTTTGCGTAGAGATCAACTATAAATTCAACTTAGCTCTTGTCTACTCAAGAAAGACCATCAGAATACTACAGGTCAGAATCTGGTATTTTATAAAACAGAGTTGTCGGACGTGTCCTTCAGAACTCACCGACCCCCCCCCCCCCCCCTCCCCCACCATTGTTTAATCAATATCAATGACACAGATATCGATTAGTACAGTCAATATTATATCTCAATTACATCTTACCACGAAAAAGATATAATGTTATGATTGCGGTGTTTATACTGCATTCAACTTAAAGTCAATTTCTTTTCCCCCGAAATCGAATTGCTTTCAGTAAAAGTTCGATCAACGATTAGGGAAGCGAAAACGCAGTTCGCAACGTATTAACTTTAATTGAAAGTTCTAGGGAACAGTTACTTTAAAAACAAAATTTCGATCGATTTCAAGCGAGAAAAATCTAACTGCCGTGCATCACTTGATTGGGTAAACGTCGTTTCGTTTTATTACAACAAATTATTTACCAACTTGAAAAAAAAAAATATACTCCTTCATTTCGGTAAAATAGCAGCTTTAATCTGAAAGAAAAAGAAAAACATCGTAAATTAAACTCCGACTAATGGGGGTGTAGATACAGCGGTAAAATTTCCCTGGTAGTTTATAATGGATCTATGGCTCTAGGGCAGGTTCGACAAGGTGGAATGTATCTTCCTATAATCAATTAGGGTGGATTGGGGCTGAGGAGTACAGAGATAATTTATTTAAAAGTTTGAAAGAAAACTAAAACGACATTAAACTATCGCGGCTACCATACTAGGCATGCATATACATATATACATATATATATATATATATATATATATATATATATATATATATATATATATATATATATATATATATATATATATATACATATATATATATATATATACATAAATATATATATATATATATATATATATATATATATAATATACATATATATATGTATGTATGTATATTTATATATGTATGTATATCAACGTACATTTCATTACTGTAGCCCTTTGCTTGTCGTCACCGCTTGATAGTCACCGCTTGATAATATTTAACCTCGCTTGCTCGTGTCATTTGTAAAAAATGTAATGAAAACATAAACATTCGTCAAAGGTCTTACAAAACATTAACAATAGCTCGTACCACTGGGACTGCCTAGATTGTATGCACAAATAAATCATATACTCACATTTTTCTTTTAGTTTAAAGGACTCTGGCGAAATGTTTTATTACATTTTATTTATATCTATGCTTCATCAACAAAGATTTTTTTAAATCAATATTTAGTTTACTGCGAGCGGTATCTCTTGTGTATATTTGTTCTGGTATGAAGTCGATGAATTAATACGGACATTGAGTCAATGTTCTTATGTACAGAGGTGTGTGGCATCTAATTAAAATTGTGGGCTGTTTGTCCAATATTTATCTTTCAATTATAATTATCCGAATGAGATAATATTTTAATTATAAAACAAATAGTGGAAATAATTACTATGGCAAAATTGTATTATAGTTGTGAAATTTGTTTTTGACGTTTATTAATTAACGACACTAGACACCTATGGCTTCAGCTATAGTCCATGTATTTAACCCGTTCACATAGACCTAATATTGCTTCAGCTATAGTGCAATAACCCGTCCAGGTTTACTTTCTATTACTCCAGCTATAGTCCATGTGCGTTAATTCCACATGGAAGAATAATTTTAATTAGCGTCCATCTTAAAGTTAGTACGATAGTTTTCGTCAAGACCTGGTAGTTCAGGTTTTGCGTGGTATAAATCTACGATGAGCGCTGATAAGGACAGCTGCCCAAATCTAGTTCGGTGGAGAGGCGTGATTGCGGCCCTTTGCTCCCAGGTGCTACAACGGTTGAAGTCAAGCCAAATCTTAAAAGAGTTTAACGTTCTTATACTCGAACTTTTCCTTGCTCTAAGTCTAACGTAGTCAGTCTAGGCTTATCCTTTATAGTTCTTATACTGGAACTTTTCCTTGCTCTAAGTCTAACGTAGAGTCAGTCTAAGCTTATCCTTTATAGTTCTATACTTGAACTTTTCCTTGTTCTATGTCTAACGTAGAGTCAGTCTGTGGTATCCTTTATAGTTCTTATACTTGAACTTTTCCTTGTTCTATGTCTAACGTAGAGTCAGTCTACGCTTATCCTTTATAGTTCTTATACTGGAACTTTTCCGTGCTCTAAGTCTAACGTAGAGTCAGACTAGGCTTATCCTTTAACGTTCTTATACTGGAACTTTTCCGTGCTCTAAGTCTAACGTAGAGTCAGACTAGGCTTATCCTTTATAGTTCTTATATTTGAACTTTTCCTTGCTCTAAGTCTAACGTAGAGTCAGACTAGGCTTATCCTTTAACGTTCTTATACTGGAACTTTTCCTTGCTCTAAGTCTAACGTAGAGTCAGACTAGGCTTATCCTTTAACGTTCTTATACTGGAACTTTTCCTTGCTCTAACTCTAACGTAGAGTCAGACTAGGCTTATCCTTTATAGTTCTATACTTGAACTTTTCCTTTCTCTAAGTCTAAGGTAGAGTCAGTCTAGGCTTATCCTTTATAGTTCTTATATTTGAACTTTTCCGTGCTCTAACTCTAACGTAGAGTCAGTCTAGGCGTAGCTTTTATCGTTCTCATACTTGAATCTTTGTTTGCTGTGAGTCTAGAGTTAGTCTAGGCGTAGCTTTTATCGTTCTTATACTTGAACCTTTGTTGGCTGTTAGACTAGATTTAGTCTAGGCGTAGCTTTTATCGTTCTTATACTTGAACCTTTGTTTGCTGTGAGTCTAACGTAGAGTCAGTCTAAGGTAAGCTGGGTAGAGTCAGTCTAAGGTAAGCTAGTAGTATAACATATAATGTCGTTATAGATCTGAAAATTAAAATGTTACCAACCACAAACAATTAAAGCTGTGGAATCAGGGTTTGTCTGTTACAGTCATATAGCACAAACTGTTCAAATTTTAAGTTCTACAAATGTACAATTTGCCGTCAATCTAAGGTAGTTATCGTTTATTTATTTTTTCAATGCCATATCAACTAAGAAGTGTTATCACAATAAACTTTTAACCAGTTTGTTTGTTTTTATTTTGTGTATATAGCTTTCAGCCAAGTTTACGGTTTCTTTCTGTCAACCGTTTGTAAATCGAAAGATTTCTTTAATAAGTCTTTATGAATGCGCGCATGGGCATATAAATAACCACACTATCCCTGCACGAACCAACGTTCTTGAAATAGATGACATGTAGTCTACTTATTTTGCCCTTTCACGGTCAAAGCAATAACTGTGTCCGATCGTACATTAAGATGCTCTACATGTAACTAAAGGCTAGAGAACGTTAAAGCTTTTTAAAAATTCAACTCAATTTCTAACTTTTTTTCACCACATGTGTTTGTTGACCGTAGAAGTAAACTTTGTCTTCCTACACTGCCAAATAACTACTTAACTTACAATCTGATATTGTGTCTTATTTGTCTTACACCTGAAATGGTTGGGTTTTTTTTTTATTTTATTAACACACTTATAAAATTATAATTGATGTAGAATTAAAAAAAACTACCTGTTCTGTAGGGGTTGTCTTGCAGGCATCCAACCACTTCACTGTTAAAAACATCATGCAACAAATGTAGAATCAATCCAGGCTGACTAAGAAAACCAACACTGTGTGTGGGTACCGCTTTGTGTGGGTACCGCTGTGTGTGGGTACCACTGTGTGTGGGTACCGTATCAAGTAAGTAATGTGCTGTGAGGGTACCACGGAATGTGGGTACCAGTGGTTACCACTGTGTGTGGGTACCACTTTTTTGGGTACCACGGTGTGTGGGTACCACGGTATGTGGTTACTGAGACTAGTGTTAATTTCATTATATGCGGATTCCCTGTGGTGTGGATACCGTATGGGTTTAGATATTTGTCGTTTCTGTTATTTTGATACTATCATATGTTGATACTGATAATTTCAAGTTCACGAAAATTTACAGGCAAGAAAGTATAAAACAGTAAACGCTTAAAGTCAGAACAGTTAAATGTCAGGAGATAAGTCAAGGAAGTTTAAAATCAGGATAATTTCCGTATGATATCAGAAAATGTTTACGCTAGACAATGTCGAGAATAATTTAAAGCATTACGTTTAATGTACCATGTATAACGATCTGGGGGAGTAAACGGATAGTGTGGTCATGCTATGCCCAGGCGACATTACTCTCCTTAACGTGAGCCAGGTACCTATTAAAGCTGGGTAAACTCAGGCCTAGGAACGACCAATTTTAGGGTCCGCAGCAATGGGCTCTACCGCTTTGTCATGCTGCCTCCTTTAACGCAGCTCTAGACAGTCAATAAAATATGTAACAAAAGTATATAATTCATTCAAATACACTGGACAAACAACAATTCCAACTAAGTTTTTTAATGGTTATAAAAAGATTTTTTAAAAATCTACGCGTAAAACGATTTTAAAATTAATTCAACATTTGAACAGTTCAGGTTTAACTTAACACGTTCACTTTTAACTCAAACTGGTCCAATTCAACTTGGCTTGTTCATTTCACTTGAATTATTCACGTTGAACTTGACTTCTTCTTTCTGAATGTAACAAGTTGAAGTCATTTGTAGTTCAGTTTTGTTCAAGTAAGTACTGCGAAACGTCAAGTTGTCCGACAACTCTTAAGTAACTGAACTGGTGCGCGCGTAAGTGATGATTTATGTTGTGCTTGAGGGTATCAATGCTAACATTGTTGATCACCAACTGAAACAACGAATAAAATTCTGTTCGGATCATGAATATGTGTCTAATCGCGTTGTGTAGCTGTCCCATTTAAGGTATGGGAGTATGGGGAACATGAAGTTTGGGTCAGTGTCACATCAACTTGTCATGCTACGTCACCTTAGTTTTTATCAGTGTCATATAGCATTGTGTCAGTGTCACATGACACTGTCATGCTACGTCACCTTAGTTTTTATCAGTGTCATATCGCATTGTGTCAGTGTCCCATCATTTGGCATGTTACTTCACCTTTTTTATGTCAGTGCCACATCAAACCGTGTCAATGTATAATAAAAATTTAACCCAGCACCTTGATAGCCCAGTCATTGTCAGAACCATTTCACCAACCATTTCACCAACCATCTCACAAACCATTTCACAAAACATTTCATCAACCATTTCCCCAAAAACATCACCAACCGTTCCACTAACAACGTCACCAAACCATTTCACCAAACATTTCACCAATTATTTCACCAACCATTCCACCAACCATTTCACCAACCATCTCACAAACCATTTCACAAACCATTTCGTCAACTATTTCCCCAAAAACATCACCAACCGTTCCACTAACAACGTCACCAAACCATTTCACCAAACATTTCACCAATTATTTCACCAAACATTTTACCAACCATTCCACCAACCATTTCACCAGCCATCCCACCAACCATTTCACCAACCATTTCACCAAAAGTTCACCAACATTTCACCCATTCCACCAACCATTTCACCAACATTTCACCAACCAGTTTACCAACAGCACTAGACACACAATACACAACACACCACTTCTTACAAGAGTCCATTGTTTATGCTAGTAGGTTATCCCACCCCCGTCCCGTCCTCCCCCGCCCCCACCTGAATTAAACAAGCCTCCCCATCCCACCTGGCCATGTGCAGACTAGGGGTAGTACCGGTCGCCTGGTCTTTGACCCGATCCCACCCAACTAACCTGGGATGTACTGTTGGACAAACACGTAATGGGATACCCTATTGTATTCAAGGTTAATCCAGGGCATAGACCTCAAGGCTGGGTGGTGAGGGACAGAGACATAGAACAGTGGAATGTTTGGAAGATGTAGACATGTTTTGTGTGTTGTAAGGTGTGGTAATTTTGGTCCTTTCGGCTGGTCGATTTAGATATCCAACTTTCTATTCCTCTGTCGGCTTTGTGAGTGTTTAGAATCATGTATATTAAAGTTTCTGAACTGAATTTGTGTTGGTGTTTATTTAAATAGCCGAGCCTTTGTGCCTAATTCGTCACAAAAACTTTCAGGGCAGTTATCGCTATCGAAACACAATATCACATATTATGTGATATCATAACACACTTACTTTGAAATTCTCCGGTGAAAGATGAATAGACAGAGTGAAAGGCTCGCCCACACTAAATGGGAAGCGGGTTTTGTGCACTTTTGGGTCATCGAATTGCCCATCAATCCTTTTGTTGATATACAATACCTTCTCTTCTAAACTGGCTTTCATATGGAAAAGAATATCGGCATGCTCTTCTCGGGTTGTTTCAATGGTGACGATTATGCTATCAATAAAATGCAGGTGTTAAATTATGTCCGTTTAATAACAGACTGTAACACAATAAATATCGTGAGTACACCAAGCTTATATACTATATATAGGAACCTAACTCATGTTAGAGAAAGTAAAGGTAAAAAAATATCAACTCTACTTGATTATGGTACGGAGTGGCATAGCAGTAGAAAACTAGACTGCTAAAACGAATGTCTCGAGTTCGAATACACTTCAAGTCAGTGGACCGGTCCTGAGTTCATCCAGCTCTGATGAGTAGCTATCTCAAGTTAGGGAAAGTAAAGGCGGCTGGGCATAGTGCTGAGCATACCTTCCCTTCATATGTCAAGTTCAAGAACATATGAACTCTATTTTACCTGCACAATGGATTGCCAATGCTAAAGACGTTTCTGTACTTTAATATCCTATTATGTACGTTTCCTGACTAAAACAGTGGTTCTGAACCAGGGTTCCCCCAAACCTCAAGGGTTCGGTGTGTCAGCCTAAGGGGTTCGGCGAAGGTCAAGACACACACCCGACTCATGTGATACAGGGTCGGATTTTGTCAGTGCTGACAATAGAACTATTAAGAAAGGTTCGGTGAATGCGCATATAAAACTAGTTGGGTTCGTTACCTCCAATAAGGTTACGATCAACTGGACCCAAATATTCAACGAGGCGGTGTGCCCTACGCCAGAGCGCTAGGCTGCTAACCTGAAAGTCTCGATTTCGAATAAAGGTTATAGTCTTAGAACGTTCCTTACGCTAACCAGCTCTGATGAGTACCTTACTAACGTAAGGTACAAAGGCGATTGCGTATCATGCTGACCACACTATATCTCCATATGCCTAGCTCACAGGAACATGAATTTCACTTCACTTTCCCCATAGACAGTCAGTAAACTTCACTATTTTTTTTAAATGATCAAACAGTTCGTAAATTAACTAAGTAATACATTAGATTAAAAAAAAACTATTTAAACAAAAAACAAGACTATTACGTTTTGCAGCCAGTTTGAGGAATTCCTTTTATGGTAATGACCTTCGCAGAAGTAATACCGCCTGAGATTTCCGTGTCAAAAACAAGATCCTGTGGTTTGGAGGGAATACATTGGATTTAATCAGATAACACATTTTTAAGACATATTTTTTTTATAATGATGAATGGTAGATTTAAGGTAGATTCGATATCTAGGTGTATACACAAAGATTCACATCTGGAGGGGAACTAAGTCAAAGAACAACATAGTCGTTTAAATTGAAACAGAGATTCAGACCAGAAGCGCTACCGAGTCGAATAATAAATCAGTCGTTCACAGTTAGATGTCTACGACACGTCCTTAAGATAAATTGGCCAGAACAAATGTCTATTGTGAACCTATGGCAACCCATGAAGCAAAAAACGATTTAAGGTAGATTCGATATCTAGGTGTATACACAAAGATTCACATCTGGAGGGGAACTAAGTCAAAGAACAACATAGTCGTTTAAATTGAATTTAGTCAGAGATTCGAAAGATAATTTTTATTATGGTGAATGGTAGATTTGAGGGAGCTTAGCTATCTAGGTGTATACACAAAGATTCACATCAGGAGGGCAACTAAGTCAAAGAACAACATAGTCGTTTACATTGAATTTAGTCAGAAAGCAAATTTTAAAGATATTTTTATTATGGTGAATGTTAGATTTTAGGGAGATTAAGTATCTTTGTGTAAAAACAGAGATTCAGACCAGAAGCGCTACCGAGTCGAATAATAAATCAGTCGTTCACAGTTAGATGTCTACGACACGTCCTTAAGATAAATTGGCCAGAACAAATGTCTATTGTGAACCTATGGCAACCCATGAAGCAAAACACGATAGACAGGTAGGGTCAAGCCCGTATGGGGGTGTGTGGGAGGGTGTGTGATCGGGCAAGCTCTGATGAGGTCAGTGGACAACATATCAGGCAAATGTGGAACTGGAACCGTTGTTAAAAAGAAAATGCGAAGGAAGGGATACTGGATTTGGTAGGCTCAATAAAGAGAGCTGCCAGTTACGGTTTTGTGGAGAGTACTGTGGAAGATGCACTCAAAGTAATGGACAAATTAATGTTTAGGGAAGGTTCATGTGTTGTATTACATATTCCAAGATTTATATTCATCAATGTTTATATAACGATTTAAGATTATTAGTATTTTTTCTTAACCATTTTATTTTTCAAGTTTGTTAATTAAACGTTATCGCTTTAACGAATTCCACTGTATACTAGTATACTAAATATATTTTTAAAAGCTTATTTAGAAGTAAAAAGTCTAAATATAGTAGCCAATTTATAATTAAGCCACAAACAAAGCAAAATGTGATGTCGTATTGGAAAGATGTTTTTCATACTTGGTTGTTTAACAAGTAAACGAGGTAAACATAAAGTAGGAGAGAAGTAACCAGTTCTCAGTGATACTATTGTATTATTGAGAGGGTTACGGTTAGGACTACTAAACGAAAAGCCTTACATTAGGATATACAACATATCCAGCCGATGGTACCCAGAATGGGTTGGACAGACCAGGCTTCAGCGCTTGTTTTGTAACTGCCAAACCTCCTGTCCGGCACTGACCGAACAAGCCTCGTGTCTGGCATTGCACACCGCTCCAGTACTTTAAGGTTTTAGCAGCTGTCCCATGCTGAAACAATCATACGGTCAGGCTTGCTTTGTGTGTACTTATAAAATACAAAGAGATATTTTACATGGAAGAATTTATTCAAGTAAAGTCCGAATTTCACCTTCTTATTATATTTATGATATTATTTTTCTTTAATCCCAAGTTTAATTCAGCTTCACTTAAAAGTCCGAACCCCTATCAACCCACCAGGCCGATGAAAAAAAAATCCCTTGAATCACCATTTAATTACACATTTGCATTTTAAGGTTTAAAATTTTCATTAGAAGTTTTGTATTTGAATGAAAGTAGGCTACATGTAAGAAAGTTGTAATACTTTTGCAAATCTGTATCAGTCCTAATAAGCCGATGATGAAAACAGTAATACTAAATCGAACATTCAAGGTAAACTGACGCTGTAAATTATGTCTGGGACACACACAAAATCTAAAGTAGATCTCGATTATTTACTTATTTCCAGATTAACTAAGAAGAGTTATCTACTCAACTTTCAACACGTTTGTTTTCATTGTGTGTAAATAACTTTCAGTCACATTTACGTTTTTTATGTCAGTATTTTGTATAGCGCAAGACAGGTAACTGTAAGTCTCGAGTTCGATTCCTATGTCAACCAAGCTGATGAGGAACTGACTCATGTTAGGGAAAGTAGAAGTATTTGAAATAGATGAACTGTACTTAGTTTGACCTGTGATGGCCATGTACAAAACAATAATCTTATCATGTAATCCAATCATACATTAGGATGCGCTATATTTAAGCAAAGGCCAGTTCACGTTGGCGTTTTAAATAAACATGAACCCAATTTGTAACTTTTATTTTAACCCACGCCTTTTTTTACCGTAAGAGTAAACTTTGTTTTCCTACACTTACAAATAACTAGTTAGCTTACAGTGTAATATTTTGTCTTATTTGTCTTACACCTAAAAATGGTTGATTTTTTCAAGTCTGTTTTTTTAATTGTTACACACTTATAAAATTATATTTAAAGTAAATTTAAAAACAAAATGCCGTTAATACCTGTTCGGTAGGAGTTGTCTTGCAGGCGTCTAGCCATCTCCCTGTGAAAAACATGATGCCATATCAATTTATCGGTACATGATCAAAGGTGTCATCCTAGATTGAAGACTTGATCATTAACTGGGCATTACATGATCAAAGGTGTCATTCTAGATCTAAGACTTGATCATTAACTGGGCATTACATGATCAAAGGTGTCATTCTAGATCTAAGACCTGATCGTTAACTGGGCATTACATGATCAAAGGTGTCATTCTAGATTGAAGACTAGATCATTAACTGGGCATTACATGATCAAAGGTGTCATTCTAGATCTAAGACTTGATCATTAACTGGGCATTACATGATCAAAGGTGTCATTCTAGATCTAAGACTTGATCATTAACTGGGCATTACATGATCAAAGGTGTCATTCTAGATCTAAGACTTGATCGTTAACTGGGCATTACATGATCAAAGGTGTCATTCTAGATCTAAGACTTGATCATTAACTGGGCATTACATGATCAAAGGTGTCATTCTAGATTGAAGACTAGATCATTAACTGGGCATTACATGATCAAAGGTGTCATTCTAGATCTAAGACTTGATCATTAACTGGGCATTACATGATCAAAGGTGTCATTCTAGATCTAAGACTTGATCATTAACTGGGCATTACATGATCAAAGGTGTCATTCTAGATCTAAGACTTGATCGTTAACTGGGCATTACATGATCAAAGGTGTCATTCTAGATTGAAGACTAGATCATTAACTGGGCATTACATGATCAAAGGTGTCATTCTAGATCTAAGACTTGATCATTAACTGGGCATTACATGATCAAAGGTGTCATTCTAGATCTAAGACTTGATCGTTAACTGGGCATTACATGATCAAAGGTGTCATTCTAGATCTAAGACTTGATCATTAACTGGGCATTACATGATCAAAGGTGTCATTCTAGATTTAAGACTTGATCGTTAACTGGGCATTACATGATCAAATGTGTCATTCTAGATCTAAGACTTGATCATTAACTGGGCATTACATGATCAAAGGTGTCATTCTAGATTTAAGACTTGATCATTAACTGGGCATTACATGATCAAAGGTGTTATTCTAGATTGAAGACTAGATCATTAACTGGGCATTACATGATCAAAGGTGTCATTCTAGATTTAAGACTTGATCATTAACTGGGCATTACATGATCAAAGGTGTCATTCTAGATTTAAGACTTGATCATTAACTGGGCATTTCATGATCAAAGGTGTCATTCTAGATCTAAGACTTGATCATTAACTGGGCATTACATGATCAAAGGTGTCATTCTAGATCTAAGACTTGATCGTTAACTGGGCATTACATGATCAAAGGTGTCATTCTAGATTGAAGACTAGATCATTAACTGGGCATTACATGATCAAAGGTGTCATTCTAGATCTAAGACTTGATCATTAACTGGGCATTACATGATCAAAGGTGTCATTCTAGATCTAAGACTTGATCGTTAACTGGGCATTACATGATCAAAGGTGTCATTCTAGATCTAAGACTTGATCATTAACTGGGCATTACATGATCAAAGGTGTCATTCTAGATTTAAGACTTGATCATTAACTGGGCATTACATGATCAAAGGTGTTATTCTAGATTGAAGACTAGATCATTAACTGGGCATTACATGATCAAAGGTGTCATTCTAGATTTAAGACTTGATCATTAACTGGGCATTACATGATCAAAGGTGTCATTCTAGATTTAAGACTTGATCATTAACTGGGCATTTCATGATCAAAGGTGTCATTCTAGATTGAAGACTAGATCATTAACTGGGCATTACATGATCAAAAGTGTCATTCTAGATTTAAGACTTGATCATTAACTGGGCATTACATGATCAAAGGTGTCATTCTAGATCAAAGACTTGATCGTTAACTGGGCATTACATGATCAAAGGTGTCATTCTAGATTGAAGACTTGGTCATTAACTGGGCATTACATGATCAAAGGTGTCATTCTAGATCTAAGACTTGATCGTTAACTGGGCATTACATGATCAAAGGTGTCATTCTAGATCTAAGACTTGATCATTAACTGGGCATTACATGATCAAAGGTGTCATTCTAGATTTAAGACTTGATTATTAACTGGGCATTACATGATCAAAGGTGTCATTCTAGATCTAAGACTTGATCATTAACTGGGCATTACATGATCAAAGGTGTCATTCTAGATCTAAGACTTGATCATTAACTGGGCATTACATGATCAAAGGTGTCATTCTAGATCTAAGACTTGATCATTAACTGTCATTCTAGATCTAAGGCTTGATCACTAACTGGACTTTAGATGATCAAGCGTGTTATACTAGATCGAAGTACATGATCATTACCTGATTATTACTTGACCCTCACCTGATCGAACATAATTGCAGCTGTTTACAAACTGATATGATTGTTAACTGTTTGAAACTAATTATTCCTTAATGGACGTAATCTAAACTTGATCTTTACCTGATCGAACATGATCTAGATCTACTTAAAAGAGCTGAACAACCACACACTAACAGTTTATAAAAACAATCTGCCATTGACTACATCATCTGTAAAACTAGCCTCACTATTTTACCTTTACTGTTGGTAGCCATTACCAAACTAGAAGCCAATCGATGGCTTACATCCTTTGATACCAGAGAATTCGTTCCGGCGAATAAATGCCGGAGCGTGGCTGGAACAGCGGTCTTCCATACGATAAGCACCATTTTTTACTTGTCTGCTTCTTATGTAGATCAAAATATATTAAACAAAGGAGTCAAATGTAGATTCTAAATGTAGAATGTCTCCGCTCTAGTTACTATCATAGCAACAAAGTACGGAAATGACACAAATGCGCAATGTGCACTTTTCTCAAAGACAGCAAAGTTTGATGACGTAATTTTTTGATAACGTATTGAAAATGGCTCTTTTAAAAGCGCGTTATTGTAATGGACTTCATCGATTTTATTAGAATTATTTCATCGTTATTGTTTGACATGAATTACAAAACATTGGGTTTTTTTTTCGATTCTACTAGAACCATCTCATGGTTCTTGTTTGACATGAATTATAAAATCTTGCTTTTGTCGATTTTATTACAATCAGTTCATTGTTATTATTTGAACTGAGTTACAAAATCTTTTTGTCGATTTTACCTTCATAGCTGCCGTAACAAAAATAAAATACTTTGGCTTGAAAAAATAAATTAAAAATATAATGTTTTAAGAAGTAATGATATAAAAGTTGCGAATAAAGAGAACGTGAAAATAATTTTTGCGCGTTTAAGGCTACATTTCTATTTATTTTCATCAAGCCTAAGTAACAAGCTTAAGTTTCACTTTCGTAAGACAAATATTAATGGAGGCGACCGAGTTGACGATAATCCTTCCATCAATGTTGACATGGATTAAAAACTTGTTTTTTTTAGAATTGTGCAATCCTAGCGACCGATTAAAAAAAAAAACAACTTAAGCCTAAAAATAATTCACAAATTTAATACTTATTAGAATCCATATTTTAAAAGTTGCAAATCCAGAGAACTTGAAAATAAATATTTAAAGCTACATTCCTAAGTTACAACCCGATGTTTCACTTTTGTAAGACAAACATTAATAGACTACGTGAACTCAGTGATCGATAGTTAAGTGTTTACAAAACGTTTCAGATAAAGTTTGTAAATGACAAATGATTTTTGTAAATTGTAGATTATTCGCGTACTGTATTACCTGAGTACTGATTTGTTAGAGTGCCGTGTAAGTTTTAGGCTAAGTGTGTAGGCGCCTACCGTATTGTGTGAGTTCTTGCTCTGTGTGTGCCACGGTCTGTGTGTACCGCAGTGTGTGGGTACCACGGTATGTGGGTACCGCAGTGTGTGGGTACCACGGTATGTGGGTACCACATTGTGTGGGTACCACGTTCTGTGGGTACCGCATTGTGTGGGTACCACGGTATGTGGGTACTGCATTGTGTGGGTACCACGGTCTGTGGGTACCGCAGTGTGTGGATAGCACGATATGTGGGTACAGCATTGTGTGGGTACCACGGTATGTGGGTATCGCAGTGTGTGGGTACCACGGTATGTGGGTACAGCATTGTGTGGGTACCACGGTATGTGGGTATCGCAGTGTGTGGGTACCACGGTATGTGGGTACCGCGTTGTGTGGATACCAGTCTGTGGGTACCGTAGTGTGTGGGTACCACGGTATGTGGGTACCGCATTGTGTGGGTACCACGGTATGTGGGTACCACGTTATGTGAGCACCACGGTATGTGGTTACTGAAAGTAGTTGGTTTCCTGTTGCGTAGATATCCTGTGGATTGGGTAACGATTAAAAGTAACGTTTTTTTTCAATCCTGACGGTCTATGGGGTAAGTGAAGTAGAATTTACTAGAATTTGTGACCTCTGCATATAAAGGGACGGTTAACTGACTTGAACCCTGATTCGAACTCGAGACTTACGGGTTAGCAGTCCAGCTCTCTACCGCTAGGCCACTTATGGATTTAGATATTTGTCATTTCTGCTGTTTTGACACTGTGTTATGTTGATACTGATAATTTCAAGTCTATAAAAATTTGCAGGCAAGAAAGTATGAAGCAGTTAAAGTCAGTACAGTTTAATATCAAGCTAGTTTATGCTAGACTTTATTGAGGACATAACGGACTGGGATCATGAAGTGTTAGTTTATGCTAGACTTTATTGAGGACCTGACGGACTAGGATCATGAAGTGTTAGTTTATGCTAGACTTTATTGAGGACATAACGGACTGGGATCATGAAGTGTTAGTTTATGCTAGACTTTATTGAGGACATAACGGACTGGGATCATGAAGTGTTAGTTTATGCTAGACTTTATTGAGGACATAACGGACTGGGATCATGAAGTGTTAGTTTATGCTAGACTTTATTGAGGACATAACGGACTGGGATCATGAAGTGTTAGTTTATGCTAGACTTTATTGAGGACAAAACGGACTGGGATCATGAAGTGTTAGTTTATGCTAGACTTTATTGAGGAAATAACGGACTGGGATCATGAAGTGTTAGTTTATGCTAGACTTTATTGAGGACATAACGGACTGGGATCATGAAGTGTTTTAAACATGCCCAAGGACAATGTCGAGAATAATTTTATTTCAAACATTAAGTTTAATGTAACATGTTTAATGTTCTGGGAGAGTAAATGGATAGAGTGGTCACGCTAAGCCAAGACGATATTACTCTCTAAAGTGAGCCAGGTACTTATTAGTGCTGGGTGAACTCAGGGACGTCAAATTTTCGGGTTCGCAGTAATGTGCTTTAACCCTGGATAAGCTGGTATATAAAATGTTACACTTGATAGTCAATAAAGTATGTAGAAAATACTACACAACACATTTAAATTCATTGGACTTAACAACAAGACTTCAAATTACCTTTTATTTAGAGGTTATAAAACGATTAACAATTGTACTCGTAAAACGATTTTAAATTAATTCGACATTTAAACTACTAGTTCACGTTTAACTTAACACGTTCACTTTTAACTCAAATTGTTCCAATTCAGCTTGGCTTGTTCATTTCACTTGAATTATTCACGCTGAACTTGACTTGTTCTTTCTGAATGTAACACGCTGATGTCATTTGAGTTTTATTCAAGGCTAAAGTGTGTCACGTCGAGTCTACCGTAAACTCTAAAGTAATTTTCTTGGATCACCTGACGAGTGATGTTGTGCTTAAAGGTATCGAAGTTAACATTGTTGATTACCAACTGAAATATCGAATAGAATTCTGTTAGTGGCATGTATCAGTGTCTCATCGATTAGTGTCAATGTCATGTACGTTGTATGTGTATGGGTTACACGAAGGATGAGTCAGTGTCACATCTCCTTGTCATGCTACGTCACATCATGTCAGTGACACATCGCTTGGTGTCATCGTCACATCACACTGTCACGCTACGTCTCCTTAGGTTATGTCAGTACCACTTCGCATGATGTCAGTGTCATATCGCATCAGTGTCACATCCAAGCTAAACTAGCGTAGTGTTACATCACGATATTTCACCAACCATTCCACCAACCATTCACCCAACCATTTAACCAACCATTTAACCAACCATTCAACTAACCATTTCAACAACCATATTCCACCAGCCATTTCACCAACCATTTAACCAACCATTTAACCAACCCTTTCACCAACCTTTTACCAACCATTTCATCAACCATTTAACCAACCATTCCACCAATCATTCCACCAACCATTTCACCAACTATTCCGTCAACAATTTTACCAACCATTTCACCAACCATTTAACCAACCATTTTTCCAACCCTTTCACCAACCTTTTTATCAACTATTTCACCAACCACTTCACCAACCATTTCACCAACCATTCCAAAAAAACAATTCCATTAACCATTTTACCAACCATTCCACCAACCATTTCACCAAACATTTCACCAACCTTTTTACCAACCATTTCACCAACTATTTCACCAACCATTTCAACAACCATATTCAAGCAACCATTTTTCTAACCATTTCACCAACCATTTCACCACCAACACGACACGCAACAGCGCGCACACACACACACACACACACGTACACACGCACACACATACACACACGCACACACACACACCAATTATCGCCATCAAAACACAATATCACATATTATGTTATATCATAACACCACTTACTCTAAACTCGGCCGGTGTAACATGAACAGACAGCGTGAAGGGCTGGCCGGGTGTAAATGGGAAGTGGCTCTTATGCACTACTGCACCATCCTTTTCGAATTCCCCATGAGTCTTTTTGCTGATAGTCAACATCTTTTCTTTGAATCTGGCCATCATATGGAAAGGAACATCCGCATGCTCTTCACGGGTAGTTTCGAGTGAAACGACGAAACTGTCAATAAAATGCAGGTGTTAAATTATGACCGGTCAATAATACATTACAACACACAATTATGACCGTTCAATAATAAATTACAACACAAAATTATGACCGTTCAATAATAAATTACAACACAATTAATATCTTGAGTTCACCCAGCTCTAGTGAGTACCTAACTCATGTTAAGGAAAGTAAAGGCGGCTGGGCAAAGTGCTGAGCATACCTTTCCTTTCATAAGCCGAGTTCAAGCAATATATGAACTCTATTTAATCTGCACAATAGATCGCTAGGACTAAAAAGGATTCTACACGTTAATATCCTATTATGTACGTTTACTGACTAAAACAGTGGTTCTGAACCTGGGTTCGACCAAACCCGAGGGGTTCGGTAAGTCAGTCTCAGGGGTTCGGCGAAGGTCAAGACACATACCCGACTTACATGATGAAAGATAGGAGTTTGTCATTGTTGAAGATAGAACTATTATAAAGGTTCGTTGAATGCGCAGGTAACACTTGTGGGGTTCGGATCCATCTTACCACTGGACCAAAATATTAAACAGTACAGCCTGGCCTACGTTTATGGGACGGAGTGGTCTAGCGGTAGAGAGCTGGAGTGCTAACCCGTAAGCCTCGAGTTCAAATCCGGGTTCAAGTCAGTATACCGTCCCTGAGTCCACCCAACTCTGATGGGTACCTAACTCACGTTAGGGACAGTAAAGGCGGCTGGGCATAGTGCTGACCACACTATCTCTTCATATGCCGAGGTCACAGAAACAAGTGAACTCTACTTCACTTGCCCCATAGACCGTCAGGTTTGAAAGGGAAACTTTACTTTACTTTTACCCTGGCCTACGGCAGAGCGCTAGACTATAAACCCGAAAGTATCGAGTTCGAATCCGGGTTCAAGTCAGTAAACGTCCCTGAGTCCACTCCGCCCTGGGTTCCTAACTAACAATAGGGAATGTAAAGGTGGCCGAGCTTAGTTCTGTCCACACTATCCCTTCATATGTCGAGGTCACAGAAACAGGTGAACTCTACTTCACTTTGTACCGTCAGGTTCGAAAAGTGAAGTTTACTAACTTTTTTAAAATTATTAAATATTTCTTAAATTAACCAGGTAACGAACTAGATAAAAAAAAACGAATTAAACAAAATACTAAACTATTACTTGTGGACGTCTTGGTCAAGAACGCCATGAATAGTAATCACCCTCACAGAAGGTATTCCGCCTCTGATTGCCGTATCAAGAATAATGTACTGTAGTTTAGAAGGAATACGGTAATGGAATTAAGATAGCACATTTTAAAGACTGTTTTTTTTTATTTGATATCTAGGTGTTAACACATAGGTTCAACCCTAGAGGGCAGCTAAGTAAAACAACAATTAGCCGTTAACATTGAGTTCAGTCACAGGGCAAAATTCTAATATTTTTTCTATCACGGTAGGCTACATAGGAGGGAGATCAGGTATCTAGGTTTTCATGTGTTGCATTACATATTTGAAGTTGTTTTTTTTTTCAATCAATGCTATGTATAAGAATTTAAATTTAACACCTATATATTTATATATATATATATATATATATATATATATATATATATATATATATATATATATATATATATATATATATATATATATATGGTTTTTGTTTAGAGAAAAAAAGACGTCACTATCTACCTAGCGCCCATTGTATCCTTCCTCAACGGGCCATTTTTCTCGTATATATATATATATATATATATATATATATATATATATATATATATATATATATATATATATATATATACAAATATAATCATAAATATCTCCGAGGTAAATAGGGGTGGATGTCAGTAAATATGACCTGGAATAGAAGTATCTGGTTTTCAGTGATACTGTGTTATTTGTTTATGAGAGGGCTACGGTTAGGACTACTAAACGAAAAGACTTACAGGCGGATATGCAACATAGCCAGCCGATTGTACCCAGAATGGGTTGGACAGACCAGGCTTCAGCGCTTGTTTTGTAACGGCCAAACCTCCTGTCCGGCACTGACCGAACAAGCCTCGTGTCTGGCACTGCACACCGCTCCAGTACTTCAAGGTTTTAGCAGCCGTCCCATGCTGAAACAATCGTATGGTTAGGCTTGCTTTGCAAGCACTTATAGGATATGCACTTCAAATTTGACAAAGATCAATTGAACTATTGCTTGTCTAAAGCTATATTTGGAAGTGTAAATCGTTATAGAAAATACAGACCAAATTTAAAAAAAAGATGAATAGTACTATCGCTTGTCTAAGCATGGCCTTGTATTGTTAGTCCTGATATAACTATATATAGTCCTTATATATATCCTTATATGGCCGTCTTCTTACACTTCCAAGTAACTAGTTAACTTACGACGTTTTTTTAAGCCTAACTCTTAAGTGTTACTTTAATTGTCAAACGTTGTTAAAGCTACAGTTTGTGTAATACACACTCTACGGCGTCAAATACCTGTCCCAAAGGAGTTGTCTTGCAAGCTTCCAGCCACTTCCCTGTGGAAAAAAAACGGGTTGCCAGATAAATTATATGGAAGCTGTAAACGCAGTGCTAGCTAATATTCTGTTGAGGTATTAATGGGCAGTTTCAACTTTTGGGGGTCAGCGTTGAACGCATGCAAGCTAAACAGAAAAGTCCCATGGCTAAAACCCATGCAGATGTGGCTTGATAGCTGGGAACAGCAACCAATCTAGGAGAGACAACTCCAACTTCTAACAACTGATAGTAACACGGCCTCACTGGGGGTGTAAAAAAAAAGTAAAGTTTCCCTTTCAAACTTGACGGTCTATGGGGTAAGTGAAGTAGAGTTCACTTGTTTCTGTGACCTCGGCATAAAAAGGGATATTGTGGTCAGCTCTATGTGAGTTAGGTACCCATCAGAGTTGGGTTGACTCAGGGACGGTCTACTGACTTGAACCCGGATTCGAACTCGAGACAAACGGGTTAGCAGTTCAGCTCTCTACCGCTAGACCACTCCGTCCCCACTGGTTGTGTGACCTTACAGTAAAAGTCACCGACCAGGTCACAAGAGTTCCTACATGAACTTCAACGGTCACGTGTTCGTGACCGAGACGAGCGACCTAGATGGAGGCATCCGGCTGTGGTGTGGCATGGAGAGGGGTGGCCGCCCTAGACACACCCCAACAACCCAAATGAGGGTTAAGGGGTTAAAGGCCGATGCTAGCCGGGAAAAGATACGCATGCGCAATGGAGAGAAACTACGACTTGCCTTCACAGCGATGTTTTCGATGGTACTGCGCATGTGTGTGTTTACAACCGCAGAACCCTAGCCCTAACCCTATCCCTAATCCTAGTTCTAACCCAACCCCTAACCCCAGCCATAGGTCACTGCACATGTGCAGAACTATCTTTTGCCGACTAGATGGAGACGTTGGGGCGAAAAATCTTTTTCCGAGTAGTCACTTCGTAATATTTTTATGTTTGTTTAAGTTTTAAACTGAGGTCTAGTGTATTTTTCACGTTGCTGGTTATTAACTAGAGATAGAATTTATTTACTTTTAGACATGCTCACCGTTAGATGCTATATTTCGTTACTTGAGCACTACATGCATGTTACCTAATCGCTACCTATTTGTTATATAATCGGTACCTAAACGTGAGCTTATCCTATATGTATCGAAAATGGTCTTTAAGTGATCGCAGCCTACTCATTTCTAGATCGATAAATAAAACAACGACTCTATAATTGTTACATGATCATTACCTACATTTTACTGGATAATTTTTTGATGGTTGCTTAATCGTATCGCTAAACAATACTTACTGATAACTATCTGATTGTTATGTAATTGATATTTATATTATAGTTACCTGATTGTATAATCTTAACCTTATCGTTACCTTATAATCTTTGAATCTATATCTGATTGCTCTATAATCGAAACCAAATAGTTAATTACAAACATGTTAATCTTTAACTAACATGTAGGCCTACCAAACAAGAAGCACAAATGTTGCCTGATTAGTTTCTGATTTTTAATCCTAGTGTCGTCTGGTTTTTTTTTTTTTTAGTTTTATTTCCAATTTGATTAATCAATGCTTAACGTTTGATAATCGAACGTATAGGCCTACGTAGCATATCGATAAAGTCTTTTTTATTTGTTTAATTTCCAATTTGATTAATTAACGCTATTTTAACGCTATCTTAATGCTTTCCGTTTCATATTCGAACATATACTTAGCATATCGATAAATGCCTTTGTTTAAGTTTTATTTCCATTTTGATTAAATAATGCTTAACGTTTCATAATCGAACGTATACGTAGCATATCGTTAAAGTCCTTTTTTTAAGTTTTATTTCCAATTTGATTAATTAACGCTATCTTAACGTTTGATACTCGAACGTATCGGTAGCATATCAATAAATGCCCGTCATCTAATCGAACATAAATTTACCTTGTTACGAAATGATCTTTAGCTGGTTACATGTAATGATATTGATCATTTATCGAACAAATCATGATTTGACATTATTGTTCCTAATCTCTGTATGATCAAATTTAAATTTATCCTGAACACTAAACGATCATTTAGACGTAATTATACCTGATCACTAACTACTAATTTATTGATTTCATTGTATGTTCGTTACCTGAACGAACTTAGTCGTACATTATAACTAAGTTGTCATTAATTGATCAGACAAATGTGTACCCAATCACTAATTAGTACTTAAGAGGTCATAATTATACCGTGTTATGAAAATATCGTAATATGATTTAAACTGTTACCTGAAAACGAAATGATAGTTACCTAATTGAGCCAAATTGTACCTGGTTATAAAAATATCTTTATATAATTGAAAGTTTTACCTGATTACAAAATGATAGTAACCTGATTAGGGGTCGTCCATAAATGACGTCACACTCGTAGGGGGGAGGGGGGTCCGTAATTTTGTGACGGTGTGTGATGAGGGGGGGGGGGAGGGGGTTCAGATGGATCGATGTCACACTTTTGCATTATAAAAAAGCAATGTCAGAAAACTTATTTTAGACGTGCATTTTAGAAAACTGTTTTAATAAATTGTAATAGGAATTGATTAAAATACTCTATTTTGACAGAGTTTAGACAAGATTTGGGGAAAATATCGATGCTAAAAAAAAAAATTAAACTGCAATTTTGAGGCGAGTTGTAGGCTGAGGTGTGACGCCATGTTAGGGAGGGGGGTCTGGATTTTTGTGACGATGTGTGACGGAGGGGAGGGGGGGGGGAGGTAAAAATCATCAAAAAAAACGTGACGTCATTTATTGATGACCCCTTAAGCCTAAGGCAGGGTAGTAGCTAGGGTCAGGGTAGGGGTAGGGGCTAGGGTCAGGGTAGGGGTAGGGGCTAGGGTGTGGGTTTGTGGCATGGGGTAGGAGCTAGGGTCAAGGTAGAGGCTATGGTCAGGGTGGGGGTAGGGGCTAGGGTGCGGGTTTGTGGTATCGGGTAGGGGCTAGGGGATAGGAGTAAGGAGTAAGGATCATGTTATGGGACTAGGGTTGGGGTAGGGGGTAGCAGTCAGAGTAGGGGCTAAGGTCAGAGTAGGGCTAAGGTTAGGGCTAGTGTTAGGTAACGGGTTATGGTCAGGGTAGTAGATAGGGTTATGGTAGAGTTGGAGTAGGCACTTGTGTTAGGTTAGGGGTGGGGATAGGGGCTAGGAACAGGGTAAAGGCTAGGGTTAGTGTAGGTGCTATGTTTAGGTTAGGGTTAGGGGATAGAGGGTATGGGGTAGGGGCTATGTTCAAGGTAGAGTAGGGTCTATGATAAGGGTAAGGGTTAGGGCAGGGTATGATTAGGTGGTGTGGGGTAGGACCTAGGGTCAGGGTAGGAGCTAGGGTCAGGGTAAGGGCTAGGGTTAGTGTAGGTGCTATGTAAGGGTAGGGTTAGGGAATAGAGGGTATGGGCTAGGGTCAGATTAGGTTCTAGGACTGGGACTAGGGTTTGGGTAAAGGAGGGGTTAGGGTAGAGGCTAGCGTCAGCATAGGAGCTACGGTAATGCTTAGGTCAGTTCAGGGCTAGGGCCAATATCCCTATCCCTACCAGCTTTTGTGACCACGGCATATGAAGGCATAGTGTGGTCAGCACTATGTCCTTTACTTTCCTTATCGTGAGTTTGGTACCTATCTGAGCTGAGTTGACCGTCTACTGACTTAAACCCGGGTTCGAACTCGAGACTTACCGTTAGCAGTCTAGCTCTCTACCGCTAGGCCACTCGGTACCCTGATCGGGTAGAGAACAGGGCGTGGGGTCGGGATATTGGGTGGGCTATGAAAACAACCCCAATCGGCTACATCAATGAAAACAAGAAAATAAACCAATTGTTTACTAACATTAAAACTCCTAAAACATATTTTTAAAAATGTGTAAATCCCTTACCTCCATTAACATTAGCAGTGGTGGTTAGCGAAGCCAAGCCACGGCAAACATCCTTTGGTACCAGAGATGTAGTTCCGGAGAGAGCATGCCGGATTGTTGCCGGGGTAGTAGCCATCCGTACGAGAAGCATTTTGCTTTGTTTTGTTTTATTTAAACTATAACACAATGAAGTAGACAATGTTTCCACTCTGTGTCGCCAATCAGAAGAGGAAGTGACGAAAAAACATGTGTAACCAACTTGGTTACAAGAGACTGCAAGAATTGATGACGTCGATGCTAAAAATAATGTGTGTAGCATGACTGATTTGCAGAGAATCCTTCCATCTTTTTTGTTGATATGGATTATTTTTAGCGCAATTTCCATTCTGGAGAATTGCGTTTATTAACCCGTCATTTCTGGATGTATGAATGTATGAATGAATGGATGGATGGATGGATGGATGGATGGATGTGTGTCCGCAGGTTTAAGTCGTATCTCCTCCTCAACGAAGCAATATCGATGACTAGTTCCAAAAGCAATTATGTTAAGCAAGTTACGAGGATGAACATAAGCTATAAAAATTCCGGGTTTCTTTCATGGATTTCCCGGAAAAGCCAAAAAACCTCAAAAAAAGAGCAGTGTTTGGTCCATATCTCGGCAACCAGACCACTTAGCGACTTGAAACATGTACCAATCGATTCCTGCCATAATTTAGAACAATATTGCCGAAGAAAGTTTTCAAAAATATCCTTTCGTTCGGTCACAAAAAATTTTTTGAATTAATTAAAATTTGGACCGAATTAGTAGGCATATTTATCCAACCACACCACACGCGTCATCACGTTCAATAGCTGCGCCATCACGTTCAATGGCTGCGTCATCACGTTCAGTAGGCGCGCAATGGTTTTTAGTCATGTAACTCTATTGTAAATAAAACATGTAAAATACTGACAAAAAAATTAATAAAAAACGTTTTAATAACTAACCAATGGTTTTACTAACCCTGCTCTTGATTTACGCTACGACAGAGCTGTTTTTAGATAACATAAGGAAATTGCGCTTAAATGTCACTAGACTTTTTAATTAACTTGTTTTTTATAACACGTGTTTTTTTTAGATTTTGCAATCAAAACGGCCGTAAAAATAATAAAAAATAAAAACTTAAGACTTGAAATTATTAAAAATGCAATGTTTTTAGAATCAATGGTATAGAAGTTGAAAATCCAGCGAAAAAGGAGAAAATAAAGGACTTTCTTTGAATAAAACAAGGAACTACTATTTAAATTACTAAAACGAAAAGCGTAAAAACAAAGACATTGCGTCTTGTTAAGCTTAAGATTTTGCGCTTGATAAATAGTGTTATGGTAAATGTTATAACTTCCCTTAGGGTTCGGGCACGGTCAAGGTCTAGAGCTAAGGTTGGGGCTAAAATAAACGACTCGGTAGGTTAAGGCCTTTTAAATGGGTACGGCCAAGGCCGAGGCAAGTGTAGGGTGTTACAATTAACCTTTAAATCAACTCCAAACACAATTCAAGGCATTGGTCAAACATTGATTCAACTTGTCATCTTTATCAGAGTTTCTTCCAGACACTTTTCTCCGGGGGGGGGGGGGCACTTGAAATTTTCGGGGGGGGGGGCGGTAGACTTTCTTCGGGGGGGGGGGGGGGGGGGGCGGACACTGTTAAAAGTATATATTTTCTATATAAATTATATAAATTTCATTTCGTTCGGGGGGCGGTAAAAATTTTTCGGGGGGGCAAAGCCCCCCCCTCCCCCGAAGAGATGCCTGGAAGAAACTCTGAATTCTTTATCATTACACCACGTCCTCGTCCCTATACGCTACCAACCAGAGTTTCTTTCAGGCATCTCTTCGGGGGGAGATGGGGGGGGGGATGTTGCCGAAGGAAGAAGTCTACCGCCCCCCCCCCCCCCCACACAACGAAATGGAATTTATGTTAGATAATATATACTTTTATTAGTATATCTAACAAGCAAAATAATTCCCCACATATTTACGTCATCAATTTGTGCTGTGTTTTATTATTAGTCAATGTTAATTTTATTACGTCGTTTCCGTAATTGGGTTGCTAAACATTGAAACCGATACATTGAGTATCTTCTCTGATTCAAGTTTAAACTAGACGCTAAACTATCATGGTGCTTGTCGTACGGATGGCTTCTGCTCCGGCTACATTCCGGCATTTATTTGCCGGAACTAATGCTCTGGTATCAAAGGACATCAGCCGTGGCTTGACTTCGCTAACCGTTAGTGGTAATGTTAATGGAGGTAAGGGGGCGACAGAGGAGCGATCTAGTTCTGTTTGATCCCTATTCTATAAAGTCTAGATCTAGACCTTGTCGTTACTATAGAGTACTCTACAGGTTTTTAACTAGCTTTATCGTAGGGCACGTATTGAATAGGCCCCTAGATTCTAGATCTAGATCTCTTTTACGGAGTTTTTCAATACAAAAATAATACTTAAATACCCCCCCCCCCCCTAAGAGGCTAAGAGCTACTGCACTCATCCCCCATGTCAAGTGCTAATTATCCCCATGTTAATTACCCCGTTGCTGAATACCCCTTGTCGATCAACACTTTTTCAATTACCACACCGTCAATTATTCCATACCAATTACCACTTGCCCTCTACACCTATTACGCCATATGTCAATTACCACCATGTACCACTAAGTAATGGGTCGCTACGACTAATATTATCTAATATTTATTGTATAACCCAACTAAACAATTTATATTTCTGAGATAATGTAAACAGATACGTCTAATTTAACTATATAAATATATTAATTCTGAGATAATGTAAACAGATACGTCTAATTTAACTATATAAATATATTAATTCTGAGATAATGTAAACAGATACTTCTAATTTAGCTATATAAACAAATTAATTATGAGATAAGGGGTCGTCCATAAATGACGTCACACTCGTAGGGGGAGGGGGGTGTCCGTAATTTTGTGACGGTGCGTGATTAGGGGGAGGGGGGGGGGGGGGGGGGGCGGCGGGGTTCAGATGGTTGGACGTCACACTTTTGCATTTAAAAAAAATTTTTTGTTAGAAAACTAATTTTAGCCGTCATTTCGCGTTTTAGAAAACTGTTTTAATAAATTGTAGTAGAAATTTATTAAAATACTCTATTTTGACAGAGTTCAGACAAGATTTTAGAAAAATATCGTTGTTTAAAAAAAAATTCAACCGCAATTTTGAGGGGGGGGAGTTGTAAGCTGATGTGTGACGTCATTTTAGGGGAGGGGGTCTGGCTTTTTGTGACGATGTGTGACGGAAGGGAGGGGGGGAGGTAAAAATCGTCAAAAAGAGTGACGTCATTTGTTGATGACCCCTAATGTACATACACATACCTGTATAACCATATTATTTACAGGAAACGTGCTCGAATCCTGTAGACCATCTCTACCTGTGCAGGTAATGTTGGCGTTAGTTTGTCTGCTAGTAACCAAGATAAACATTTCTTTGGGACTTGAAGACTGACATTGGACCAGAGGCGTAGCGACGGGGGGGGGGGGGGGGTAGGGGGGTGCATATGTCCCAGGGCGCCGACCTTAAGGGGCGCCAAAATGGATTGTCAAAACAAATTAAAATGTTATTTTAGCTGCATTTTTGCATTATAGTTTGAGGGGGGGGGGGTGTAAATCGAAAGTTTGGGGAGGGGGTGCAAATTGAAAGTTTGAGGGGGGGGTGCAAATTGAAAATTCGCTCCCGAAGGGGGCGCCAAATTTAAAGTTTGTCCCCGGGCGCCGGGAAGGGTCGCTACGCCTCTGCATTGGACAGCTACTATTTAAAGCAGCGGTTCTTAACCTGGGTCCGATTAAACCCCGGGGGTCTGGTCAGTCAGTCACAGAGGTTGGTCGGGTGTCCAGACACACACTCGACTTGTATGACTCAACAATTGGGTGTTTTGTCTGAGCCCACAGTAGAACTCCTAAGAAGAATTCCGTGAAAGCACACATGAAACTTGCGTGGTTCGGTACCTGTAAAAAGGTTGTGAACCACTGCCATACACTAGTGGCGTAGCGAGGTCGGGTGTCTTCCGGTGCGGCACTTAATGGTGTCACCCCCCCCCCCCCCCCAGAGGCGTTGCGACCCTTCCCGGGGACAAACTTTCAAGTTTTCGATTTGCACACCCCTCTCAAACTTTAGATGCGCCCCTCCCCTTAAGTTTTCGATTTGCACCCCCCCCTCAAACTTTTGATTTGCACCCCCCCTCCTCAAGTTTTTCTCTATATATTTTGCTATTTTTTGCCTTGGTGTCACCCCCGCCCCCCCCCCCCTCGCTACGCCCCTGTCATAGACTATAAATAGCACAAACTGTTTGTTCTATAACGACTTAGAATATCAGACCAGTCTTAGACAAATAATAGAACCATAGTTCCTTCTACAACTTGAATTGTATGTTTTATAACGGCTTACGCCATAAGACTAATCTTAGCCTAATAATAGTACCATTGTTCCTTCTTCAACTTGAACTGTATGCTCTATAAAGTTGTACACAGCAGGCCTGACCTAACGATTGTTTCAGCATGGGACGGCTGCTAAAACCTTGAAGTACTGGAGCGGTGTGCAGTGCCAGACACGAGGCTTGTTCGGTCAGTGCCGGACAGGAGGTTTGGCAGTTACAAAACAAGCGCTGAAGCCTGGTCTGTCCAACCCATTCTGGGTACCATCGGCTGGATACTGTGATTATCCTCCTGTAAGGAATTTCTTTTAGTAATCATAACCCTAACTCTCACATAGATAAATTAAAAAAGAAATGAAATAGTATAACTAACAACCTTTTACGCTTTTCACATTATAACTTTCCGTCAATTATTTGCCAAGTGATATATTTTCAAAGTCACAAAATTTCTACCTTAATCCTAATACTATTGTATCGCGTTTTTGACATGAATAGCATTAATGATGTTCCGTATTACTTTCAGACACTACATATGGCTAAAAAAATTAAGCTTTTACACAATATAATGAAATGTTTTTTAAAACCTAGTAATTAATATACAATAGTTCGTTTTATAGATGAAAAATAGATGGTATTTCTTGATAGGCACCGTACACTTTTTAAATTACACCAACAGATAGGCAAATTCTTTATTTTTGCGGTAATTCTGCTATATATGTACCTTGATGTGATTGTTGAGAAATATTTGATATAAAACTGCTTCGGGTTATAAAAAAAAATGTTGGGAAACCGTAGTGAAGTTGACTTCAAAATGCATAACCTAGAAGTTTTTAATAAAACTGTGCAGATCCCAGAATTATCTATATATACACGCCCTGTGCAGTGGCGTAGCGAGGTCGGGTGTCACCCGGTGCGGCACTTAATGGTGTCACCCCCCTAGAGGCATAGAGACCCTTCCCCAGGGACAAACTTTCAAATTTTCGACTTGCACCCCCCCCCCCCCTCAAACTTTCGATTTGCACCCCCCCCCCTCAAGTTTTCGATTTGCACCCCCCCCCCCTCAAGTTTTCGATTTGCACCCCCCCCCCCCTCGAGTTTTTCTCTATATATTTTGCTATTTTTTGCCTTGGTGTCACCCCCCTAAATGGTGTCACCCGGTGCGGTCCGCACCCACGCCCCCCCCCTCGCTATGCCCCTGGCCCTGTGTAATATTTTACGCCAAGCTGAAATAAAAGCTTTATATTAACTTTAGCTCCACGTATCATCATCGTTGCCCGTTTGTACCCAAGACACACGGGGCAGATTACGTAGAGTTCATGGGATACTGTAGTCAGTACTATGCCCAGCCGCCTTTGTTTTCCTAACTTGAGTTAGGTACCCATTAGTGCTGGGGTGGACTCAGGGACGTTCTACTGATGGACCCTGATTCGAACTCGAGACTTTAAGCTTAGCAGTCTATCGCCCTATGACGCCGTGCCATAGCTACACATATAGTTAAAACTAACAGTAATTTGTTATGTTCCTTTGTCAACTACAGAACACAGTTTTTGATCTGGAGTTCCGGAACGGAATTCTACCAGGAAACGCTATCATCGTGAAAGGCATCCCACATCCTGACTGTAAACAGTAAGATACTTAATGACTAGTATTTAATTTAGGGAGACGAACGTTTTCCCGAAAGACACTTGCACGAATGGGACAAATGCCCGAATGGACACTTGCCCGAATGGGACAAATGCCCGAATGGACACTTGCTCGAATGGGACAAATGCCCGAATGGACGCTTGCCCGAATGGGGGCAAATGCCCGAATGGACACTTGCCCGAATGGGACAAATGCTCGAATGGGACAAATGCCCGAATGGACACTTGCCCGAATGGGACAAATGCTCGAATGGACACTAGCCCGAATGGGACAAATGCCCGAATGGACACTTGCCCGAATGGGACAAATGCCCGAATGGACACTTGCTCGTGTCGTAGATCCTTTAATTATATTAATTAGAAACTGAAAAGTTTCTTTTCTAATATTTTTCCTTAGTATTTTCTAAAATTAAGAGTGGTTTATTTATTTAGTAAGATACGTTTAGGAATCTTGTATAACTTTAGCTAGATTTCTCTGAAATATTTTTTAAGGTTTCTGTATTGGGCTCAGAACAGGTAATTCTGTTGTGAGTTACGTACTGTCATATTATGTTGGAGGTCGGCGTGGTCGGGTACAATGAGATCATGGTTGCTGAACCGAAAAGTCCCGAGTTCGAACCCTCGGGCAGATGGGGTTCAATAGCTGGGGAAAGCAACTCTTCTAGGAGAGACAACTCCAAAATACAAACAACTGCTGCCTTGTAGCTTATTCTTGGTTGGAAAAAGGTTATGGAAGCAAATTCTGAAAGAAAAGCAGGGTGAAATCGAAGTCAACGACCTCAATGGCGCATAACCAGAAGAGCCGTTTTGTGAAAAGCTTACATGCCATCGCTTCGTTCGATTCTACTGGAAGTGCTATAACAGCGCGTATTGTTATAGAGATATTTTAGTGAAGCTCAGTCCGAATTTATTTAATTAATATACAGGTGGTTAATGAATGCCGGGAGAGGGGGGAGTACATGGTTGGGTTCTAGCGCCTTGCTACATGCAGATGATACTTGTAAAAATGGTTATGGAAAACTTGATTTTTTTTTTTAATTCTCAACCTTACTTGATGTTCTAGAACTATTTTGAGTAATCATTTTATTGAGCTATGGATAAGTTGTTATATTATTATATGAACATCATGGGCGAAAATAAAAATACATTTATAACCAAGTCAACTTGAGGTAGATAATTAGTTTTACGTAACTCTATGTCCGAAAGTAAACAAAACGTATACGTGAATTATCAACATTCGGTTCAAAATGTGTATTATTTCGAGATAACTTTTTTTGCCAAATTTGTTATTGCATAATTGTATGTATAAACAGAGGGTTAATTGTATAGCTACATTAAATGTAAACTTGAAAAGTATGCTATAACTACGCAAATGTTCGGCGAAATTAACTGGGTTGTTATTTACGCTATAACCACGCAAATGCTAAAAGAAATTAACTGGGTTATTATTTACGTTATAACCACGCAAATGTTACACGAAATTAACTGGGTTGTTATTTACGCTATAACCACGAAAATCTATACTGAATTTACAGGGTTGTTATTTACGTTATAACCACGCAAACGTTATACGAAGTTAACTGGGTTTTTATTTACGCTATAACTACGCAAATGTTATACGCAGGGGCGTAGCGAGGGGGGGAGGTGGGGGGGGGGGTGCGGAACGCACTGGGTGACACCATTTAGGGAGGTGACACCAAGGCTAAAAAAAGCAAAATATATAGAAAAAACTTGAGGGGGGGTGCAAATCGAAAATTTGAAAGTTTGTCCCCGGGAAGGGTCGCTACGCCTCTGGGGGGGGGGGGGGGTGACACCATTAAGTGCCGCACCGGGTGACACCCGACCTCGCTACGCCACTGGCTATAACCACGCAAATGTTATACGAAATTAACTGGGTTGTTATTTGAACAGGTTTACAGTCTCCCTTGACTGCGGTCGGCAAGATGTCTCCACCGTCCCATTCAGCTTAACAGCTTACTTTAAGGACCGCCCTGAAGCCAATAACATTGTGTTGAATAACCGGAGGAATGGGATTATCAATCGCAAGAACGAGAAGAAACTTACCACCTTCCCATTCCAGCATGGCAAAGAATTCAAGATGAAGATAACACACGATAAGAACCATTTCAAGGTAAAACTCGTTTGTTTTTTCTATCTGCTACCCAGAGGTGTAGCGACCCTTCCCGGCGCCCGGGGACATACTTTCAATTTGGCGCCCCCCTCGGGAGGAAATTTTCGATTTGCACCCCCCCCCCCTCGTACTTTTCATTTGCACCCCCCCCCCCCTCAAACTTTCAATTTGGCGCCCCCCCCCCTAAGGTCGGCGCCCGGGGACATATGTCCCCCCGCCCCCCCTCGCTACGCCTCTGCTGCTACCTAGCGAATGAGTAAAGGGGGATGATTGGGGGAGGGGGTGAATGTTGATTGTAGTGTGTATCCTGTGACGTTTGTCCTTGTTCAATCCTCTTGTTGTGAGTTGTGACAGTCCGGTTTGTACCTTTTTGGCTACGGGTATATAAGGTGTGTGAGAACGTGTGTGATTGTCTCAGTTTAGTGAAGTTCTCCCACTAGGTTAGTGTAGGTTTGTTTTGTACTGTTAGATAGCCACTGTATCTTAGTTCTTAGTTTGTGAAGGCTATTTCTGTATTTTGTGTAGGTTAGTTCTGTACTTTTAGATAGCCAATGTATCTTAGAATCTTAGTGTAGGTTAGTTTTGTACTGTTGGAAAGCCGCTGTATCTTAGTGTAGGTTAGTTCTGTACTGTTAGATAGCCACTGTATCTTAGTTCTTAGTTTGTGTAGGTTAGTTCTGTAATTTTAGATAGCCAATGTATCTTAGTGTAGGTTAGTTCTGTACTGTTGGAAAGCCACTGTATCTTAGTTTGTGTAGGTTATTTCTGTACTGTTAGATAGCCACTGTATATTATTTTGTGTAGGTAAGTTCTGTACTGTTAGATAGCCACTGTATCTTAGTTTGTGTAGGTTAGTTCTGTACTGTTAGATAGCCACTGTATCTTAGTTTGTGTAGGTTAGTTCTGTATTGTTAGATAGTAACTGTATCTTAGTGTAGGTTAGTTCTGTACTTTTAGATAGCCATTGTATCTTAGTTTGTGTAGGTTAGTTCTGTACTGTTAGATAACCATTGTATCTTAGTTTGTGTAGGTTAGTTCTGTACTGTTAAATAGCCCTGTATCTTAGTTTGTGTTAGATAGCCAATGCATCTTAGAATCTTAGTGTAGATTAGTTCTGTACTGTTAGTTAGCCACTGTATCTTAGTTTGTGTAGGTTATTTCTGTACTGTTAAATAGCCACTGTATCTTAGTTTGTGTAGGTTATTTCTGTACTGTTAGATAGCCACTGTATATTATTTTGTGTAGGTAAGTTCTGTACTGTTAGATAGCCACTGTATCTTAGTTTGTGTAGGTTAGTTCTGTACTGTTAGATAGCCACTGTATCTTAGTTTGTGTAGGTTAGTTCTGTACTTTTAGATAGCCAATGTATCTTAGTGTAGGTAAGTTCTGTACTGTTAGATAGCCACCTTATCTAAGTTTGTGTAGGTTAGTTATGTACTGTTAGATAGTAACTGTATCTTAGTGTAGGTTAGTTCTTTACTGTTAGATAGCCAATGCATCTTAGAATCTTAGTGTAGATTAGTTCTGTACTGTTAGTTAGCCACTGTATCTTAGTTTGTGTAGGTTATTTCTGTACTGTTAAATAGCCACTGTATCTTAGTTTGTGTAGGTTATTTCTGTACTGTTAAATAGCCACTGTATCTTAGTTTGTGTAGGTTAGTTCTGTACTGTTAGATAGTCACTGTATCTTAGTTTGTGTACTAGATTATGTATTTATATTTAGAATAGCCTGTGTTGTGTAGATAGTATTTAACTCTTTTAGTGCTAACAAGCCTTTTTTACATTTAGTCTTGTGTTTTGTAACTATGTTGTGGTTGTTTGTCTTATGTGTTGCGCTACGCACTGGATCACCCGAAAGGTGTGTCCGTGTGTTCACAACACCCGATAGGAAACATTGTAACGTACCTATCTGTTTGTGTCGATTTGATGAGGCGTAGCTAGGGGTGGACGGTTGAGGCGGTACCAGTGTTTCTTCCAGACTTTTTTCTCCGGGGGGGGGCACTTGAAATCTTCGGGGGGGGGCGGTAAACTTTCTTCGGGGGGGCGGACACTGTTAAAAGTATATATTTTCTATATAAATTATATAAATTTCATTTCGTTCGGGGGGGGGCGGTAAAATTTTTTCGGGGGGGCTAAGCCCCCCCGAAGAGATGCCTGGAAGAAACTCTGGGCGGTACCCTACGTGACGACACTTGGGGGGCGCCAAACCTAGAAGTGCGGAAAACTCGGGAGGTCTTCGTGGTCGAGTTGGTAGAGTTCATGGTTGCTAAAACGAAAAGTTTCAAGTTCAAATCCCCGGGCAGATGAGCCCTGACAGCTGGGGTGAGCCACCCTTCTAGGAGAGACAACTCCAAAATCAAACAACTGCTGCCTTGTTTTTTGTTCTTGGTTGGATAAAGGCTATGGAAGCAAATCCAAAATGAAAAGCAGGCTGAATTCGGAGTCAATGGCTTCAATGGCGCATAACATGTTGACACGTAATACTTAAATGTGTTGGATGGAAGCTTTCCAACATTAAAAATTAGGAACGAAAAAAAAGGTAGAAAAGAAATACAAATATCAATTCTGAGTTGCGGCACTGAACTATAGCCAGTCAAAGTTAAGAAAACAGACTGATGCTTTGCTTTCCTCGCTGAATGAACTGTATTCTACATCCGATGTGTGACAGCATAATTAAAAAACTCTTAAGCGGCAGTCATTAGTAAAAGGCGCATCTAACCTTACCGGATTGGGAAGGAGTACTTTTACACTAAAGCGAACAATTATATATAAATGGGGAGGGGCGTGTAAAAATAGTTCGCTCCGGAATGGGTTAATACGCCTCTGACGGGTTGGTGAACACATTTTAAAGAAATGACAATGAGAACATGAAATATACTAATGACACCACGTAATACGTTGATGACATAATGTAATGTGTTGGTTACATAATGTAATGTGTTGATGGCGTAAAATAATATGTTGCTGACACCATGTAATATATTGTTGACATAATGTAATGTTTTTGACATAATATAATATGTTGCTGATATGCTTTTATGTGGCCCTAATAGACATGTGTATACTGATAGATGGGACGAGGACATTACTTGGTATTACTGGCACAACGCGGTTAGCCATTGTCACAGTTATATGCAACACACTGCCAATGAACCTGACACACTGTCATACGACACTGACACCACGACAATGACACCACGTGATTTTGCACTGACACATCATGATAAACAACCGGCCAAATATAATGCGACACACCTAACGTGGTAGAAGACTGACACAACGTGACACAACGTGATCTATCTCCAACTCACCACGGCGTGACATTGAACATTAACAATGTCACACTGCCACCAAACTTTGTGACACTACCAACTAGAAACATAACACCAGCGTGATTTTGTTGTTTTTTCCTCTATTTTCCAGGTGGCTGTCAACGACCAAGACTTGGATTTCATAGTCCACGACCTGCAAGTCTTCGAGAGACTGAACTTCGCCAGGGTGTTTGGGGACGTTAGGGTCACCACGGTTTCCTACATCCCCGGTTCTTAAACGTGTCACGCCACACGTGTCACGCCAAACGTGATCACGTCACGTGACTCGCACACAAGAACAAACCCACTGAAGTGAAGTTATGTTAGAAGTGGACAAGTCAGTTAACAAATGAGCAAGTCAAAAGTGAACGTGTCCATTTGAGAGAAATTGAGAAATTTTAATTAACTTTGAAATGTTTACTGAATTTACATGATTTGTTCTCCTCGTAAAAACAGTACTTTAATAAACCATTAATATTTACCCCTTCAAATGTCATTTATATAAATATATTGTCATTTGTATAGATATGTTGTCCATGTCATTTGTATGAATATGTTGTCCATGTCATTTCTATAAATATGTTGTCCATATCATGTATATAAATATGTTGTTCATGTCATTTATATAAATGTTGTCCATGTCATCTGTATAAATATGTTGTCCATGTCATTTGTGTGAATATGTTGTCCATGTCATTTGTATAAATATGTTGTCCATGTCATTTGTGTGAATATGTTGTCCATGTCATTTGTATAAATATGTTGTCCATGTCATTTGTGTGAATATGTTGTCCATGTCATTTGTATAAATATGTTGTCCATGTCATTTATATAAAAATGTTGTCACTGCATTCACCGAAAATCTTAAAAACATTATTGACTACTTTTAAAATAACATTAATAAATGCAATTAAACCGATAATTAGAGATAGATTCTGATAATATCGGTTCCACATTAAATACGATATTGTTATAAGAATTTTAATTGGTCAACCGTTCTGATTTTTAAAGTATCGTTGACAAAATGAACAACAATTTCATGGCACACTAGTTTTTACAAATTGTGCATCTTTGGTGATTTAAAGAACGTTAATTTCAGATTAAAAATTCCTGACACTAGGGCTTCCTGACTCCTAACGTGCAAGACATTCATCGTTCTTTTTCTTCACATTTTTGTATTGACGCCTCAACACATACGTCTTCCAGGCTTCAATATTCCGATACCCAAAATGTTTCTGACACCATAGTCATTGATTCGGCCTTTTTTTTCTCCGGGAGTGGGAGGGTACCTTGAAACTTTTGGTTGGGGGGAGGGGGCGTGGCGGTACTAAATTTTCCAATTTTCCTCGGGGGGGGGGGAGGAGGAATACTGTTAAAAGTATATATATATATATATATATATATATATATATATATATATATATATATATATATATATATATATATATATATATATATATATATATATATATATATTCTATATATTCTATTTCGTTTAGAAGGGGGGGGGGGGTCACTTGCTTCGTCGGAGTGTGGAAGGGGGGGTAGGACCTAAAAGAAGCACTACTCTTACTATCCGGACAAAAAAAATCCCCTCCATAATACTAAAGCATAATAAATTCAAGCATCGACTCAATTAAAATCCTTGTTTGGTCTCTCAGGAATAGAAGTAAAAAATAAGCAACAACAAAAAAAATATCAGTACAGTATTTCATCACCTTTCATACCGAAGAAACACTGAGCAGTTGAAGTAGAGTTCATCTGTTTCGAGACCTCGAAATACATCGAGAGAGTCTGGTGTGCTCTATGCCATGCAATTTTGCTTCCCTAACGTGAGTCAGGTACCCATCATGGCTGAGTGGACTCAGGGACGTTGTACAACCTCGGTAGCCGAACCTGCAAACGTTTTAATACCAAGCTTTTATATAGTTATGCCGTAAAAAGAAGAAATAAATCATTTTTCTTTAAATATAATAATAAACTACTATTTAGACAACTAAAAAGAAATGCGTGAAAGAAATTTTCTACTTAAATATAAGATTTTGTTTTCATGATCCCTTTCAAATTTTGCGTGATTTCCGGTGTAAGGTGTTTCCGATTTATTAGAAAAGATCACTTCTACCTGATAAATTTATTCGAAATTCAAACTTTTCACGTCAGTAAAGACCAGAGGCGTAGCGAAGGGGGGGGGGGGCGGACCGCACCGGGTGACACCATTTAGGGGGGTGACACCAAGGCGAAAAAAAGCAAAATATATAGAGAAAAGAGGGGTGGGGTGCAAATCGAAAGTTTGAGGGGGGGGGGGGGAGTGCAAATCGAAAGTTTGAGGGGAGGGGTGCAAATCGCATTTGAAAGTTTGTCCCCGGGAGTCGCTACGCCTCTGGGGGGTTGTCACCATTAAGTGCCGCACCGGGTGACACCCGACCTCGCTACGCCACTGGTAAAGACTCGCTGGCAGTCCATTAAGACCCAACATTAGTTGTTTACTTAACATGTTAAAAAGTAATCAATGATTTCTTTAGTTGTTCGTCTATTGCAGGGGTTTGCAACCCCGTGCCTGCGGGCGCCAGGGCGCCCGCCGAATGATTCGTATGTGCCCGCCCATCACTATTCTACAGACAAAATTTTTTTCATTAACATTATTGAAAGGTTGGAAGGGATGGAAATCGAAAGTTTTAGGGGGGGGGGGGCAAATCGAAAATTTGAGGGGGGGGGGGGGGGGGGGGTTGCAAATCGAAAATTTGAGGGGGGGGGGGGTGCAGATCGAAAATTTGAGAGGGGGGGGGTGCAAATCGAAAGTTTTTTCCCCGGGTGACGGGAAGGGTCGCTACGCCTCTGGAAGGAGTTTGTCGATTTGAAATAGGTGGTGCCCGCCACCCACTGATATGTTAGAATGTAAAAAAAAAGGTTGGGAACCCCTGGTCTATTGTATACGTTGCTTAAGAACATTTTGTGCGCAATTATTTTGTGTACACGTTAGTATTCTATTCTTTTAATGCAATATAAGAAAAATGTGACTGGGTAGATCGCTGCCGATTTACTTTCAATAATAACACTCACAATACAATGCGGTAAACATCATCACTCAAATGCGTCATCAATCTATGCTGTTTTTTTAAATAACATCAAAATCGTCTTCGTAATTTCACGTCCTGTCTTGTTGCTATACATCTAAGAACAGCGGAAACAAGCTACATCTTTTCCTTTGATTTAGATCTATATTTATATAATCAAAACACTTAGCAACAATGGTGCTTGTCGTACGGATGGCTGCTGTTCCGGCTACATTCCGGCATTTATTTGCCGGATCGAATGCTCTGGTATCAAAGGACATAAGCCGTGGCTTGGCTTCGCTAACCGTTAGTGGTAATGTTAATGGAGGTAAGGGGGCGACAGAGGTGATTTTTTAAAAATCTATTTAGTCTCGATACTAAATCTAGATCTAAATCTGTGTTTATTTTCTTCAAGACTATGCATGCATTTTTAAAAGGGTCACCACGTTATGATGTGTGTGGACAAATATTGTATGTCGACTTGAACCCGTTGCTACTGAACCTATTTTGTTCAAATTTTTACAGAGAAATTGATTGTCTTATAGATCTACGATAAAAGAAAATTGAATTACCCGTATGACAATGCATCGACTTTCAATTATCCAATGGCCCACATTGTCAATTTATACACTGTGCCTTAAATCTGTCGAAACATGTAGGTTGCCCCCCCCCCCCCACCCCCCCCCCCCACCATGTCAATTACCACACTGTCGACAAGAGTATAGATCTAGTTAGCGTTAATGTTAGCATTTGGTTATGATTTTTCTCAATTATCAAAAACGGAATGACCAATTACCCCATTGTTAATTATCTCTATTTTAAGTAAGGCACTGTGAACCTTATGTCGACTGCCCTTAAGTCAATTACCACCGTGTGGATTATAGTTAGCGTTAATGTAAGCATTTGATTAAGGTTTTGTTTTAGGTTTCGGACTACGTCTGTCTGTATCTAATCTACATCCAAATAATCCCCCTCCACACACACCCTTCCATATACACCCCCACATACACCCCATCCACATAACCCCCTCCACATAACTCCCTCCTCTCACACACCTCCATATACACCCCTCTACATACACAACCCCACCCTCTACATATGCACCTCTACATACACCCCCTTCACATATACCCCTCTACATACATCCCCTCTACATATACGTCTACTCTATATATACTCCCTCTATCAATTATTCCTACACCAACTCCCTAACAACATCAACTCGCACTTGCAACACGATTCTCACCTAAACAGTTATACTCCATTGCATGTCGCTATGAAATCAAAACTTATATCAATAGCAATTTTAACAATAATGTCTTAAACACATTTTCCAATGAGTGTATCACAGTGTATTTGTTGCATCTCTTCGCGTGTGTGTGTGTGGGGGGGGGGGGCTGTTAGAGGGGGGCTGTTAGATTTTATAACGACATTAAGTCCCTCCTCTCACACACCTCCATATACACCCCTCTACATACACAACCCCACCCTCTACATATGCACCTCTACATACACCCCCTTCACATATACCCCTCTACATACATCCCCTCTACATATACGTCTACTCTATATACACTCCCTCTATCAATTATTCCTACACCAACTCCCTAACAACATCAACTCGCACTTGCAACACGATTCTCACCTAAACAGTTATACTCCATTGCATGTCGCTATGAAATCAAAACTTATATCAATAGCAATTTTAACAATAATGTCTTAAACACATTTTCCAATGAGTGTATCACAGTGTATTTGTTGCATCTCTTCGCGTGTGTGTGTGTGGGGGGGGGGGCTGTTAGAGGGGGGCTGTTAGATTTTATAACGACATTAAGTCCATCCAGCACCCACTAGTACCTATCAAAGTCCTTGAGCATAAATCTGACCAAAACATATCCCTCTAAACTGAAGTCACAGAAACAGGTGAACTCTACTCCACATGTTAGGTAACAGATATAAAACCATGAAGACCTACAAAGCAGGTAAACATTTGGTACTAAACAACGACAAGAAATCGATCAGTAGACCATCAGCTAACAATATTGTAACGATCAGATTACAAGGAAATAATTATTAGGTTTCAAAACTACCAGCTGATTTGATCTTTTTTTGATAAACAGCGTCTTACAAACAACAAGTAAAATACATACAATAACTATACCTGGCCGTATGTTCATTATATTCATAACGAGAGAACCCACTTTCAGTGGCGTAGGCAGGGGGGGGGTTAGGGGGGTCATAACCCCCCCCCCCCACCATAGACCCCTCGGTATATATATAAAGTATGAGGGGGGTTGCAAATCGAAAGTTTGAGGGGGGGGGGTGCAAATCGAAAGTTTGAGGGGGGGGGGTGCAAAATCAAAAGTTTGAGGTGGGGGGGGGGGGGTGCAATTCGAAAGTTTGTCCCCGGTTAAAAATTTGACCCCCCCCCCCCCCCCCTCATGAGACGATCCTGGCTATGCTACTGCCCACTTTAATTATATCTATCGCTAATGCATTTGATCTAGTCTAGATAAATCAACATGTTTTTTTTTACAGGAAAGCTGCTGGAATCCTCTAGACCAGCTCTACCACTGCAGGTAATATTGGCGTTACTGTGTCCACTAGTACTAGAGTACAGGTGAACTGTTGGTTCTTATAAAAACTTCTCTATCAAACGATTCTGAGAATTACTATACGTAGTATGCTTCTGTCTTGTACCTAGTACGATTGCTTCACCAAAACATTTAAGAGTATATTTAATAACGTTACAATGAACTATTAAGAGTTTCTTCCAGACATTTCTTCGGGGCTGCTCCGTCCCCCCACCCTCCCCCATCAGAAGAAAGTCACCTCCCTTCACCAACCCCCCTTCCCCCCGAACGAAATGGAATTAAGATAGAAGATATACTTTTACCAGTGTCCGCCCTCCCCCACAAAATTTAGTCCGCCTTCCAGAAAATATCAAGTTCTCTCCCTTCCACCCCACCCCCACCCCCGGAGAAAAGTATGAAAGAAAATCTGGTTCTATTACCTTACAAAACTTAGGCTGACGATACACAGTACTATTTTTCATTGCAAACTTTCAACTGAATTTTCATCTTCTTCTTGCACTACCAGAATATCTTCAGACGGGAATATCTTTACACCACTGGTTCTTAACCTGGATTTCATCGAACCCCAAGGGTTTGGTGAGGTAGTCTCAGGGGTTCGGCGGAGGTCAAGACCCACACCTGGCTCGTATTATTGACGGTCAGGTTTTGTTAGTGCGAACCACAGAACTATTAAGATGGGTTCGGTCAATGCGCATGTGAAACGGGTGGGGTTCGGTAGCTAAAATGTTAAGAACCTTTATTCCTTCTACAACTTGTTCTATAACGACTTACAATTCCAGACCAATCATAGACTAACAGACTAACGATAGAACCATCATTCCTTCTACAACCAGAGTTTTTTTCAGGCATCTCCAGGCAGAGCCCCCCCCCTCCCCGAAGAAAGTCTACCCCCCCCCCCACCCCCGAACGAAATGGAATTTTTATAGAAAACATACTTTTATCAGATTCCTCCGCCCCCACCCCCCACCCCGGAAATATCAAGTGTCCCCCCCCCCCCACCGGAGAAAAAAGTCTGGAAGAAACACTGTCTACAACTTGAACTGTATGTTCTAAAACGACTCACAATTCCTGACCCATCATTGACTAACGATAGAACTAGTGTTCCTTCTACATCTTGAACAGTATGCTCTATAAAGTTGTACACAGCAAGCCTGACCTTATGATTGTTTCAGCTTGGGACATCTGCTAAAACCTTGAAGTACTGGAGCGGTGTGCAGTGCCAGACACGAGGCTTGTTCGGTCAGTGCCGGACAGGAGGTTTGGCAGTTACAAAACAAGCGCTGAAGCCTGGTCTGTCCAACCCATTCTGGGTACCATCGGCTGGATACTGTGATTATCCTGATGTGAGTACTTTCTGTTGAAACTTCTTAACGCTAACCCTTTCATAGATATACTGAGTAATGAGTTAGTTTCAGTGGAAATCCTTTCATTTTTGTTTACTTTGTTTAGTGTTTAGGTCAATTAATTACAAAGTTATGGATTAGCTGCCCTGATAATCCTTTTCTAATCCATGCGTATGTAAATTCACGCAGAGACTGTTATAAGTTTGGGACTTTTACCTCTAGAAATGCTCCAACAAGGTTTTAAAGTTATGTTTTCCTTAATATTTCTAAACTTATAAACTCGTTAAAAATGGAATTGCTTTGTAGATGTGCTGAAATATACGAATACGCTTCTTTTTAACCATGAAGTTTTGTAAGATTTAGAACACAAACGAGTGTACATATCGAAAAAAAAGACAATTGTAGTTAAAACAGTCTGGTTTTGGATAAGTTAAATATATATATATATATATATATATATATATATATATATATATATATATATATATATATATATATATATATATATATATATATATATATATATTTAACTTATCGAAAAAAAAGACAATTGTAGTTAAAACAGTCTGGTTTTGGATAAGTTAAATATATATATATATATATATATATATATATATATATATATATATATATACCGTCTGTCCCATGTTTTCTGATTACTCTATTTGCTATGGTTAAGTTTTAAGGCTGTGTTTTTTTGTTGTTTTTTTTTTACTAGCGGATATGTTTAGAGTTCAAGTATCCTTTCTCCCATCTGTCATCTCCCCTCTCCCATCTCCCATTAAAAGCAACCTAAAAGGGTAGCTCCTTTAGCGCTAACAATCCTTTGTTTTGTTCCGTTTGATCCATAGGATATAATTTTGGATTCAAAAATCACGAACGGCATCCACCCTGGAACGACAGTCATCATCCGAGGCAAACCCAGCCCATGCTGCAAACAGTAAGGAAAATAAATGAGTTGTAACTTAATTAATTAGTAATTAATTTTTTTTTTCTCGAGGCAAACCCAGCCCATGCTGCAAACAGTAAGGAAAACAAATGAGTAGTAACTTAAGTATTTAGTAATTTTTTTTCTCTTTAAGTTTTCTAAATAGTTATTTACAATTAAGAAGGAGATTTAGTTAGAACAAATGAGTGATTTAAGTATTGGATAGTAAGTTCAAGAACCAGTACATATTTTTGTACGTTATGTGGTGTGTTATGAGTTATGTTATGTACTGTTTTATTTCGAGATCAATGAGAGAGAAAAGGTAAACAAATAAAGTAAACGACAGCTGACAAAAGGTGATTGATGGAGTAACTATACACTTTATGTGTGATGTTTTAAAATAGGGTCAAAGACATTTCAACTACCGTCAATAACTTGCTTATATTCCGTTTTCTCCACAAAATCCCACGGCCCCCTTACAATAAATGTCCCGCTAATGAAATATCCTCCCTTAGATTACATATTATAACTATTTATATCCGACTCCATAACCAGCTCCATATCCGGCTGCCTTTCTCAAACCATACCTCTAATTTATGGCATATCTATAACCCTATAGCTAACCAGTCCTTAATTAAAAGAACCCTTAAATGTCCTTTAATTCATTTCCGGGGAATAGTTGACCTGGGAGTAATATGCCAATTCGATTTTTTGGGGTGCGGGTTGTGTACGATAATTTTATTTAAAGGGGTTTAAAATATTAGATCCAAGGTAAATATTGGGGGGTTTAAAGGGGGTTTAAAATATTAGATCCGAGGTAAATAACGGGGGGTTTAAATGGGGTTCAACATATTACATCCGAGGTAAATAACGGGGGGGGGGGGGGGGGGTGTGATGGTCGAGAGTTAGTGGTTTGCTTCTGCGCAGATAATATCCGCAGCAGTGTCAATGCAAAAGTCTCTCATTTTGTTTTAAATACCCGTGTTATTACAGGATGTAAGAGAACGATAACTCGTCTTTATATATTTCCTTGAGCGAGGTGTGGCATATGTGTTATGACTAGATTAACTATCTGCGGAAAAAAACAGACGGTATAACTACGATATGCACAAAAAATGGTATAAAAACAAAACATTTTTTACGTGGGATAGTAAACACTTTGTTTACCTAAAAAATCGGGTGAAATATGGTGGGCTTTATTTTTTACATATAAGTAGTTTTATACGTGAAATGTGTGTTGTTAAATAATTATTTTCTGTAAAAATGAACATTACTTTTATAACTAAATCAAATCTATGCCTGAAATGAAAGGTATAACTAAACACCTGTATTTGCGAAATTAACACATGTGTCTTATTAATAATAAAGTAGTTTTTTTTTCAAACCTGGTTATATATAAGACAGATGTAACAGAGTTTATCTCATTCTTCTATACGAGAAAAATGGCCCGTTGAGGAAGGGTACAACGGGCGCTAGGCTGATAGTGCTGTCTCTTTTCTCTAAACTAAAACCAACCCACCACCCCACACACCACCCCCACCCCACCCCCCACCCCCACACACCACCCCCCCACCCCCACCCCCCCACCCCCCCACACACACCACCCATTCCACACACCGCCGCCCCACCCCCCCCCCCCCCACCCCCCCACCCCCTCCACCCCCCCTCCACCCCCCCTCCCCAAAAAAAAACATGTCTACCGTCCCATTCAACGAAATATAATTATATACTTTTTCCAGTGTCCGCCCCCTCCCAGAAAATTCTACCCGCGCCCCCGAAAATTTCAAGTACCCCCACCACTCTCCGGGGAGGAAAAAGTCTGAAAGAAACACTGAAACCAACCCCCCCCCCCCCACCCCCACACCCCCCCACACCCCCCCACCCCTCCAACACCCCCCCCCCCCCCCAAAAAAACATGTCTACCGTCCCATTGCAAGAAAACCACTTTTTAGATTAGACACATTAATTAGGCGGTAATTTTATTATAGAGTATCGATGAGGAAATTTCTTTTGAGTTGGGGAGTGGGGGGGCTCAGACGTTCTTACGCGGGGGTGGGGCTTCGCCCCTACCCGAAGAATTGTATGAAAGAAACTCTTCACGCAAACCACTTAGATTAGACCAAATTGCCTTTGTATTGAATGTTTACTCGATAATCAATGACGTCATATTAATGTGTGCACTATCCGGCTTGAGATTATTTTCTACTCTGTGCTAAATGGGTCGACGTCATACTTCGTTTTTCGAATTACTATGCATGTTTTTATTTTCCTTGTGTTTTCTCTAGAGCGTTCTTGTCAGATAGATACATAGACAGACAGCGAAACTATTAGTATTAATGAGACAGATGTAGCAGAGTTTATCTCATTCTTCCTAGCTACCGTTAGTAAACTTAAAGCGAATGGGAAATGGTGCTGACCAAACCATTCCTTTATTTGCCGAGGTCAAAAACATCAACTCTATTTGATCATGGTACGGAGTGGCCTAGCAGTAGAGCACTAGACTGCTAACACTAAAGTTCAAAACCCTTTTCAAGTCAGTAGACCGGCCCTGAGTTCACTCAGCTGTGATGAGTATCTAACTCACGTTAGAGAAAGTAAAAGCGGCTGGGCATAGTGCTGACCACACTATTCCTTCATATGCCGAGGTCACAGAAACAGATGAACTCTACTTCACTTTCCTCATAGACCGTCAGGTCTGGAAGAGGAAATATCTACTCCATCTGCTCCCTGGATCATCAGGACTTAAAACTGTCATTCTATTTTAACAGGTTTACGGTATCCCTCTATATCTCTCATTGATCACCAGGACTTAAAACTGTCATTCTATTTTAACAGGCTTACGGTATCCCTCTATATCTCTCATTGATCACCAGGACTTAAAACTGTCATTCTATTTTAACAGGTTTACGGTATCCCTCTATATCTCTCATTGATCATCAGGACTTAAAACTGTCATTCTATTTTAACAGGTTTACAGTATCCCTCTATATCTCTCATTGATCACCAGGACTTAAAACTGTCATTATATTTTAACACGTTTACGGTATCCCTCTATATCTCTCATTGATCATCAGGACTTAAAACTGTCATTCTATTTTAACAGGTTTACGGTATCCCTCTATATCTCTCATTGATCATCAGGACTTAAAACTGTCATTCTATTTTAACAGGTTTACGGTATCCCTCTATATCTCTAAATGATCACCAGGACTTAAAACTGTCATTCTATTTTAACAGGTTTACGGTATCCCTCTATATCTCTAAATGATCACCAGGACTTAAAACTGTCATTCTATTTTAACAGGTTTACGGTATCCCTCTATATCTCTCATTGATCATCAGGACTTAAAACTGTCATTCTATTTTAACAGGTTTACGGTATCCCTCTATATCTCTCATTGATCATCAGGACTTAAAACTGTCATTCTATTTTAACAGGTTTACGGTATCCCTCTATATCTCTCATTGATCATCAGGACTTAAAACTGTCATTCTATTTTAACAGGTTTACGGTATCCCTCTATATCTCTCATTGATCACCAGGACTTAAAACTGTCATTCTATTTTAACAGGTTTACGGTATCCCTCTATATCTCTCAATGATCATCAGGACTTAAAACTGTCATTCTATTTTAACAGGTTTACGGTATCTCTCTATATCTGTCATTGATCATCAGGACTTAAAACTGTCATTCTATTTTAACAGGTTTACGGTATCCCTCTATATCTCTCAATGATCACCAGGACTTAAAACTGTCATTCTATTTTAACAGGTTTACGGTATCCCTCTATATCTCTAAATGATCACCAGGACTTAAAACTGTCATTCTATTTTAACAGGTTTACGGTATCCCTCTATATCTCTCATTGATCATCAGGACTTAAAACTGTCATTCTATTTTAACAGGTTTACGGTATCCCTCTATATCTCTCATTGATCATCAGGACTTAAAACTGTCATTCTATTTTAACAGGTTTACGGTATCCCTCTATATCTCTCATTGATCATCAGGACTTAAAACTGTCATTCTATTTTAACAGGTTTACGGTATCCCTCTATATCTCTCATTGATCATCAGGACTTAAAACTGTCATTCTATTTTAACAGGTTTACGGTATCCCTCTATATCTCTCATTGATCACCAGGACTTAAAACTGTCATTCTATTTTAACAGGTTTACGGTATCCCTCTATATCTCTCATTGATCATCAGGACTTAAAACTGTCATTCTATTTTAACAGGTTTACGGTATCCCTCTATATCTCTCATTGATCATCAGGACTTAAAACTGTCATTCTATTTTAACAGGTTTACGGTATCCCTCTATATCTCTCATTGATCACCAGGACTTAAAACTGTCATTCTATTTTAACAGGTTTACGGTATCCCTCTATATCTCTCATTGATCATCAGGACTTAAAACTGTCATTCTATTTTAACAGGTTTACGGTATCCCTCTATATCTCTCATTGATCATCAGGACTTAAAACTGTCATTCTATTTTAACAGGTTTACGGTATCCCTCTATATCTCTCATTGATCACCAGGACTTAAAACTGTCATTCTATTTTAACAGGTTTACGGTCTCGCTGGACAATGGGCGAAAAGAAATGTCAAACGTCCCTTTTAACATGACCGCCTACTTCAAAGAGCAGAAGGAAGCCAACAATGTCGTGTTGAACAGCAAGAAGAAAGGTGTTGTTGATTATAGCAATGAAAAGACCATTTCAACTAAAATCCCGTTTGAGATCAACAAGGACATCAAAATAACTGTGCAACCCGAGGAGAAAGTTTTTAAGGTAAAAGAAAGTTTTAATTTTTTTTTCTGATATGCTACATTGTTTATACATTCTTTCTTCTTCGTTCTGAGTTTTCAATGTTGAAAGGGATTCCTTCATATACAATTATTACGTGTGTGCTTGTTATGCGCCTAATAGATTGTTGACTCCTATTTCAGCTTGTTTTTTCTTTTTGAATTACCTCCATAGCCTTCTTCAGATCATGTATAGAATATAGCGGTCCTAGGACCTTTGACCACAGGTGCTTTGACCATAGGGGGTTTGACCATAGGGGGTTTGACCACAGCGGAGCTTTGACCATAGGGGCTTTGACCATAGGGGGTTTGACAACAGCGGGGCTTTGACCATAGCGGTGCTTTGACCATAGGGGGTTTGATCATAGGGGATTTGACCATAGGGGGTTTGACCACAGGTGTTTTCTCAGATGAGGGTCTTTGATCACAGGTGGTCTATCAACTGGTGTTTGATCAAATGCGTTGTGTCCGGCTTTGATCATAGGTGTTTTGTCCAAGCGATATAAGATGCTGCACGAAAAAGTACAACGTGCTGTCCAGACACATGGTCAAACAGATGTACTGACATATTTGCGTGCTATAGCACATCTGTCATTTAGTTAACCATTTTATGTATTACATCTTTGACTATATTGTTGGCAAGTTTTGTATCATTTTTTATCCTTTATACATGCTATGTATTTTCAAGTACATCTACATTATTTATTTGTGAAACTTGTTATATGTCGCATTATTTGTGTTTCATTTATATTTAAAATAAATCTATGAGGCCTAACGCCAGCCTTTATGTGGAGAATAAAAAATAGTTCTTGGCTTTTTTTAAATACATGTTATTTTCTATTAACGTACTGTCAGGAAACATGTATAAAATCGTGTTAATTCTATCACACCTATGATCAAAGCCGGACACAGCGCTTGTGATCAAACACCCGTTGATAGATCACCTGTGATCAAAGACCCTCTCCTGAGAAAACACATGTGGTCAAACCCCCTATGGTCAAACCCCCTATGATCAAACCCCTATGGTCAAAGCACCGCTATGGTCAAAGCTCCGCTGTGGTCAAACCCCCTATGGTCAAAGCACCTGTGGTCAAAGGTCCGCGCACCAGTATAGCAGATCATGTTACTAGATCATGTTTATAGTCTAGGCGTAAACAGATCATGTATGAATGGGAAGATGTAGGCTACATTGTAGCATACTAAAACTTTTTTCCATTCAATATAAGTAAATGAAAATGTATATCTTGTTTGTATTAACTAATTTAAATCGATGATTTATAGACGTTAGTAGAAAATGAAAAGAAGAATTAGGCCCTTTATAGCATAATAAAACATCTTTCCATTAATTATGACCCAATGAAAATGTAGGCTCTTTATTTAGTTTGTATTAACGCATTTATACCGATTACTTATAGACATTAGCAGAGAATCGGAAGATGAAAGTTACAGTGTAGCATAATAAATCATATTTAAATTAAATTCGACGAAATGAAAATGTATACCTAGTTTTTATAATCGCATTTTAAAAAAAAAAATATTTCCACAATTTTCACTGCGCATTTATATCAATTAAATTTGACGAAATTAAAATGTATGTCTAGTTTTTATAATCGCATGGAAAAAAAATATTTCCGTAATTTAACACTATTTGTTTCTAGGAACCGTTATCAAAGGAATGTGATACTGACCAGTGGCGTAGCCAGCTCGGGTGTCACTCGGTGCGGCACGTAATGGTTTCACCCCCCCCCCCCCAGCGGCGTAGCGAGCTCGGGTGTCACCCGGTGCGGCACTTAATGGTTTTAACCCCCCCCCCAGCGGCGTAGCGAGCTCGGGTGTCACCCGGTGCGGCACTTAATGGTTTCACCCCCCCCCCCCCCCAGCGGCGTAGCGAGCTCGGGTATCACCCGGTGCGGCACTTAATGGTTTCACCCCCCCCCCCCAGCGGCGTAGCGACCCTTCCCGGGGACAAACTTTCAAATTTTCAATTTGCACCCCCCTAAAACTTTCGATTTGCACCCCCTCCCCCCTCAAGTTTTCGATTTGCACCCCCCCCCCCCCCTCAAACTTTTGATTTGCACCCCCCTCAAACTTTCGATTTGCACCCCTCTCTCAAGTTTTTCTCTATATATTTTGCTATTTTTCGCCTTGGTGTCACCCCCCTAAATGGTATCACCCGGTGCGGTCCGCACCCCCCGCCCCCCCCCCACTCGCTACGCCCCTGATTCTGACATGATTTTAGTTTTTTAATTAATTGATTTTATTCTCCAGGTACTCGTCAATGACAGAAGCTTTGATTTCCTGCCTCATACGATCAAAGATTTCAACAAACTCAGACATGTGAAAGTTTACGGCGGGTTTAAAGTCACTGAGTACCAGATTACTGAACCTAACCCACATTCCTACCGACCAAAATAAGGTTATTAATACATTTGGGGGACATCACTGTTTTCTCGATAGGACGTTTATGTCATGATGTCACCTCCCCCACCCATGTCGGGATTTTTCAATTTTTATTTAAATGACTATTTTACTCTAATTGAGCATAATTGAACAATTTTTCATCAATATATTTTAAAATTATTTTGTCTTGGTGCCACTCTTTAAATGACGTCACCCGGTGTGGTTCGCACCACTTACCCCACCTAGCGACGCCTCTGCATACGTTAAAAGTTGATCATGAGTCCGTCCATTAACAGTGAACAAGTCAGTAAACAAATGTTCAAGTTGAATCTGAAGTGAACCAATCTAGACAATATTGAAGTAATTTGAATCAATCAGTACTTGAATAAAAACATCATTTTTTGCATTTGCAAGTGTCATTTTTAAAAAAATATATTTGTTTTATGTTGTCCAAAACACTACGAACTAAATAGACTCCTCTAGATATAGCTAAGATATAAAAAAAGAAGTAATTGGAATTTCGGGTATTCAAGATCTTGTCCATAAAGCTCCAAATTACACAGTATATTTCTGAATATAAGTCCACCATTCGGTACAAAAAAAGAATAGTGGGTAGTGGCGTAGGCAGGGAGGGTTAGGGGGGGTCATAACCCCCCCCCCCCATAGACCCCTCGGTATATATAAAAAGTATGAGGGGGGGTGCAAATTGAAAGTTTGATGGGGGGGGGGGTGCAAATCGAAAGTTTGAGGGGGGGTGCAAATCGAAAGTTTGTCCCCGGGTAAAAATTGGAACCCCCCCCCCCCCCTTGAGACGATCCTGGCTACGCCACTGAGGGTGGGTGTGGTCGAGTCGGTCGCAAACAGATTCTTTTTTAACTTTTAATTATGCTTTGGTGTTGGTGTGATTGGGGTTTTCGGCTTGTTGGGGTGGTTTGGGTGTTGGGTTGGTTGGGGGTGGTTGGGGTGGTTCGGGTTTGGGGTGTTGGTGTGATTGAAGTTGTTGGCTTGTTGGGGTGGTTTAAGTGGTGGGGTGGTTGGAGTTAAGGGGTAGTTAGGGTGGTTGGGTAGTCTGAGTGTTAGGGTATTGGTGCGGTTGGGATGGTTGGGGTGGTTGGGGTATTGGGTGTACCAGGGGTGTTGTGTTGGTTGGGATGATTTAAGTGGTTGGGGTGATTTGAGTGGTTGGGGTGTTGGGGTGTTGGGTGTACCAGGGGTGTTGGGGTGCTTGGGGTGCAATTATTATTTTACTCGATCTAATATAGACAAACTTATCAACATCTATTAAAAGAAATAAATCTTTTAACTTAATCATCACAGAACGAGGTGGATCTTAATTACATTAAGATTTAATAAGCAATTAATTATTTTCTCATAATCCTTCTAATTGTAATAGGGAAATGTGTGACCCCCAAGCTGATTTAAACCCAAACTTTCAAACTGATTTCAAACTTTCCTTATCTCAGACTTTCCTTACAATACCATCACACAATCACTGATTACAGTTATCGAACATCTTCTCTTCAGTAATATCAAGACAGCTCTTACATAACAACACAAAATACACGAAAATACATAATACATGATAATGCAAACTACATAATAATATCATGGGATGGTGAGGTGAAAAATATAATTAAATTAACACATGATTTTTTAAAAAGTAAAATTTAAATATCTAAGAATCTACCCACATAAAGAGAAAAAAAGCCTTAACAGAAATAAAAAGTTAACATTTCTGCAAGTAAGTCATTCTTTGACACATCAGGAATCAAAAGCAGGATGTACAACAATGATATGTCCCAATGTTCGTGAATACCAATATAAAACAGAAGATAACAAGCAGCGAAAACTAACATAGTGATACAAAGTTATTGTTTTAAATATCAGTACAGTCTGTATCATCCACTGTTACCAACAATGTTTCTACCAGACTATTTTCTCCGGGGGTGGGGGGGGGGGCACTTGAAATTTTCTTGGGAGGGCGGACTAATCTTTTCAGGGGAGGGAGGGGGTGGGCGGACACTGTTAAAAGTATATATTTTCTATAAAAATTCCATTTCGTTCGGGGGGTGGTAGACTTTTTTTTCGAGGGGGCGGACTCCCCCCCCCCACCCTTTACCCCCATCCCCCGAGGAGATGCTTGGAAGAAACTCTGGTTACCAATTGTATCCATTCTTCTTGGTATCGTCTTCCATGGCGAACCTCCATGCCATCTGTGGTCGGTCTCTTTTCATTTTGCCCTGTGTATTCCAGGAGAGGGCTTGTCTTGTTATACTGGATACAGGCTTTCTGATTGTGCGGTCAGTCTATCTAACTTTCTCTGCAGGATCTCTTCCTTAGCTGGATCTTTCACGGAAGTGATACTTAAGTTTTGATTTACCGATAATTTGAATACCGTTTCAGTTTGGTGGATGAAATTTCATATCTAGGTATTACCTACTGTAGATATCTCAACTTTCGAACGATTTTAGAAAACGGGAAGGGGTATTTGATTCAACTTACGATGTATCATAAACCTGAACAAAAATTTATATTTCTATATTATATAATCATAAAACACATTCATAACAATACATGTTTATAAAATAATTATTTATTGTAAAATAAACAAACAAAATAAAGTTGTAAGGAATATCATTATCCTCATCTATCATGTGGACCCCTAGTGGAGTATAAGGACGAAACGACACCTCTTCATCGTAGTCGGTTTTGGGCGATTCCTCCAATTTGGCTCCACGCCATTCCGGCTGCTTCTTCTTCACTGACTCTGACATATAAAGCAGTGGCGTAGGCAGGGGGGGGGGGGGGGGGTTAGGGGGGGGGTCATAATCCCCCCCCCCATAGAACCCTCGGTATATATATAAAAAGTATGAGGGGGTGCAAATTGAAAGATTGAGGGGGGGGGTGGGTGCAAATCGAAATTTTGAGGGGGGGGGGGGGGGGGTTGCAAATCGAGAGGGGGGTGCAAATCGAAAGTTTGAGGGGGTGGGTGCAAATCGAAAGTTTGTCCCTGGGTAAAAATTGGAACACCCCCCCCCCTTGAGACGATCCTGACTACGCCACTGATATAGAGTAATTGAAACGTGGAACTTGATGATTTACCTGAAGGATGCTAGTAGGACAATTACTGCAGCGTTTTTTCCAAATCGTTTTTTCTGGTTACGATAATAGACTAGAAAAGCTGGTTCCAAAGCTAGTTTTTCAGCCAAAAGTGAATACTTTATAACTTTATCGTTTACGTAAAGGATACTATTTAAAAAATTACCGTACCATGGACTGTTTCTTCTTAAAAATTGAGTAAAATTGATTCGTAAAGTTAGCATTGAGTGTGAGGTAGACCACGATATTACCCACACAGCTCACCGTACCGAACAAGTTGGCGACCTCCCACATGAGTATGCCCAGGTTGTTGTAGGTCCCCAGCTGTACACCACGAAGGACGTGATGGACCACGATGGTCACGAAAAATCTGGGGATGCTGCCCACAGTCTGGATAATGGCCAACATGATGACAATTTTGACCAGGCGTTTCTCCCGTGGCGAAAGATTATCCGCACGTTCACGGTGCCGGGATATGGCTGATTTCCGTATTCTCGAGGACGATTTTAATGAGTAGATCATCCAGACGGTGCAGAGGATGATTAAAACTTGTGACGTCACGGACAAGACCACGCCCACCACGATATTCATGTTGAACTGCGCTTGCGCTGTTTCGACGGTCATTTGGAGTTTCATTTGCATGAAGTAAATATCCGACCCGTTTGTGTCTTTTTGGTCAGTGCTATACCGGCCCCATTGGAAAAACGGGTACACGTATATTTGAATAAGCATCGCGATATGGATAGCACACATGACAAGGATGAATGCTACACATTTTGTTTTTGTGAACACTTGCTTCACTTTGAAAGGGGAGACAACACAGTAGCATCTTTCTAAAGCGATAAGGGTAGTTATCCAGCATGATATGAAGTAACACACGTACCTTGCCCAGCCGAAATAAAACCTACCGATAATCCAATAATCCACTTGACTGAATGGATACATTATAGCGAACAGATACGACGTACACCTGCACAAATGTAACACAGATACCACCAGATCTGTGAAAGATAACGCCCAAAGCCCAACACTCATGCTGTCCTTGAGACCAAGTCTAATGAAGACGAGCACGTTGACGCTGTTGGACAAGACGCCTGCTATCGCTATAATCCCATTGAGTATGACGCTTAAGCCTATCATGATAGTGTTTAACATGGCGTTTGATATCACGAACTCTCTCGTGTCCTCTACCCATTTCTTGACGTGGTCATTGAACTCCTCTAAAGAACTGTTTGGCCCTTCGTCCATTGTTGTCAGTAGTAAGATAATTCAAAACTAAAAACAAACAAAAAACGAAAAATATGTATAACTTAAATAAATTAATATGAATAGTTTATATTACCACAAGTATAAACTAGAACATTAAGGTAATAAAAGAAATTAATGTTTTAATTTACCACAAGCATAAACTAAATCATTAAGTAATTAAATAAATTAATATTCAAACTTACCACAAGTAGAAACTAAAACATTAAGGGTCTAAAAAAATTTTTTGATATAAACAGATACTATTGTGATAGAGGTACGGTTCGTGGGTTTACAAATCATACGTGAAGATACATTTATTAATTCTCGAGTCTAAAAATCACAACCGATTTAAAAACATGTAGCAAGTTGTTAATATTTCTGAATTCTGATGTCACAAAAAAACTGACGCGCTCAAAATTATCTGCCACTAAAAAATTAATCCGATTTTAATTATGTTTTAACACCCTTTAATCTACAAAAAATATACAATGGTAAAGGGATAGTGTGTTCAAATATATGCTCAGCCGAATTTATATTCTGCAATGAGTTACCAGCTTCTGATATTTACACAAACATCAGAAAGGTACACATTATAGCTGGGAGTTAGCATTCTTGCACTCTACGGTATGATCGTGTCTTTAATCGTTTAAGAAACTTTGAAATAATATTATTCTTATTTAGATTTGTAATGAAACTATCTTTTAAAAGTTATCAATGACATATATCACCTTTTTAATATTAGGAACACAATATTTTAAAAATAGAAAAGATATATTTTCACCTTTTAAAATGTTTTTAATTAAATGTTATTTTCTTTTAAAAATCAGAAATAATAATTAGTAATTGCTTTATTTTAAATACATTCAAAACCGTTTTTTTAGTTTTACCATTGCTTATAGCATTTGTACGCTGACATATAAAAACATCAAGTCTATCACATAAAGTGCAAGGCAGTTGTAAACCACATTTTCGTATTTATGTCACAGTCATATTTGTACACACTATTTAGGATTTAGGTACTTTAAACTTTAATAATAAAAGACGCTTTAATGTTTTTTGTTGCTTAATTATTTACACAGTTATAAAGAAGAACATTTCTGATTTATCAAAGGAATTTAAAAAAATACATTTTCGAATGGTTATCTGCTGGTAAGTCATCGTGATAGAAACTACAGGGTATTGAGGTATTAAGCTAGGTACAGTGGGTAAATTTGGTTTCAGTTATGTTTAGAAGATTTGTATGCTAGAGGGTATGCAGATATGTGATTATCTGTGTTCGTAAGTGACGGCGATAGACTGCGGGCTTGTTAACGCAAAAGTCACGGGTTCGGATCCTAGGGTGTAGACCATAGGTCGTTGCCTGGCCAAATTGGCCACAGCTGGGTGGGGTGTTGGCAAAACAAAGTGTTGAGGGGCTGGTAACCTTGGAAACCAGAAATGTGGGAATCTTAACGCTAATCCAGTCAGTCTTGCTAATGAGCAATAAATTGGGTCGGTAAGGGCTTTATAAGAGAGAGAGAAAATAAGAGAGAGAGAAAGAGAGACAAAATGAGAGAGAGCAAGAGAAAGAGAGAGAGAGAGAGTGAAAGAGAATGAGAGAGAGAGAGAGAGAGAGAGAGAGAGAAAGAGAAAGATAGAGAAGAGAAAGAGAGAGAGAGTGAAAAAGAGAGAGACTGTGTGTTCAAGGTTCTAGATTTAAGGTTATAAAACAGTAATGCTAGTGTGAGCGGCTGGAGTGTTGTTATTATTATTTATATGTAACATAAAAAGGCGAATGTATCGTTTCGTTTCGTGTTCGTACTTTATAGTTGTGTTGTCCGGGGCCGCTGTGTAACAGTTTTTGTCCCTGTTTACGGCTACTTTGTATATATTTCGTTTATATTGTTGTCAATGTTTATATTACGTGTCTTTTTTATAATTCTGTCGTATGTTATCTGGCGTGTTGTTTGTTATCTGTGAATTAGGGACTATTTGTTTACGTGTAGTGTGCGAGGTGTGTGGAAGTCAGTTTCTGGAGTGGTTGCTGATCACGTTTGGATATTGTGCGGGTGAAGGGAGGCTCTTGTTCGCGCAGAGCCTGGACCATCCGGTACATCAAGAGTCTGAGTAGCACCATCAAATAGTCAAACTTCGTAAAACTATTTCTTTTAAGTTTTAAGCCTGTACGATAGTCCGAAATTGGGTGTTTGTCCCTTTGTGTTTTGTTCGGTTGTGTTATGTTTTGTACGTTTCGTTTTGTATGTTTTTAGCCTAGATGTTTTGTCTGGTAGATTTTGTTTTTTGTTTATATTCCTTTTCATTTAAATTGTTGGTTCCATTTCTTTCATGTAATAAATTCTAAAAACTTAAAGTTTTTTTTTGTTTTTTTAGTAGTGTCTTAGAATAAGGTAAAGGATAAGATTTAACCAACCATGAGTTTTACAACAGTTGCACTGACCGGATAAGTTATTAGTTAAGCCTAGTGACGTAGTAGTAGCTATCCCTACCTCATAAGCAGGGCTTACACTAGTAATAAACATAGATACCAATATTTACACTGTACTATGAATGTTATACTTTATTAGACGATTCGAATTCTCAATAATAATGGCCAAAAGAATAGTATTCGTAGTTCATTTTCTTATTTAAGAAACATAGTTTTTTTGTTTTATTTTGTTGTTTTTTTTTCATTTTGTATGCAGATTATTTTAAGACTCGTATAAAAATAAAAATGTTGAAATGTTGATCAGATTGTAGTTGTGCGCAGTTTGTAAACAAAAATAAGAGATTTTTAAATTTCAAAAACGTTTGTCAATTATTTACAGTGACAAACGTTTATACCACTGTACCTTATGAAAATTCTTGTTTATTTCTTTTAGCAGTTGTCTCTGATACTCTTTTTATTCATTTATTTCCTTTCAAACTATATTTGGGTCAATGTAAGAATAAACTAGGTTGTCTACTTTTGTCACATATAATAACTTAGACAGGAAAATTGACCTGATTGTCTAAAAAAAAATAAACTTCAAATAACTATTTCTGAAACAGACTCTACATAATTTTTCTTTCTTCCACAAGAAGTTTTAATATTATCTGTTCTCGTGTTTCTTATAGTAAAGGCAAAGCTGGTTTTATCTGAAACAAATATTATCCTATATTTTAAAGCAAAAATACACTCAAATTGTTATAATGCATTTCATCATATTATAACGATTTTTAAATCAACTCCGGCCAAAAAGATGTTCGTCTTTACCCCGCTGTGGGCTAAACATTACTCATAGTATAATCTAACGCAAACTGTTAAGATAATTTCCCTTGATTTCAGTAAAACGATTAGAATACGACATAAACTTTTATTTTTAAAATTGTTAAAATTCAACCAGTCTAAATTAAAAAATCCATTGAATCGATAATAGCGCACTGTAATTCAAAACCAAACGAAATTGAGCGAGAAACAAGAAATAATTACACAATTTCGCTACGTCTCCGAACAAGTAATTTACATTTTTTTCCAGGCAGTCAAGTTTCAATTACTTCAGAAGAAAATAAAAAATAATAATTTTACAATTATCTTTCTGACTCCGATGGTAATGTTTCGACCTTTACTTGATGATTGAATAAACGATGCCAGTGCTTAAGTTAGCTAGTCTTGTATCGATGGTATGTGGATAGGATAGCCTAAGCTCACCTTTTAGATGGGGAAAAAAATTATTAGGAAAAAAGAGTTTCTATAGTTTTCGAGCTCCGCTTTCAAATTCCATTTTTGTAGTGCAGCTCTACCTGATATACAATTTAAAAAAAAGGTTGATTAAATAGATATATTATGATAATATTAGTGTGAATTTATAAAATACTGGCAAGGTATACCAATCTCTGCCCGGGAGGATGTTGTTATATATTATTTTAATTCTAGTTTTATACATGGAACGGCGTGACCAAGCGGTAGAGCCCTAGAATGCTTACCCGAATGTCTTGAATTCGAGTTCATGTCCGAAGAACGTCCCTGAGTCCACCCAGCTCTGATGGGTACCTAACTCATGTTAGGGAAAGTGATCTCGGCTGGGCATAGTGTTGACCAAGGTCACCGAAATAGGTGGGCTCTATTTCACCGTCAGAAAATTTACTAATTTTAAATTTATATTCAAAATGTTGTTTTATGAGAAAATATGCATACATTTATATAATACATTTTATGAACTAAGATGAAGTCGATTCAGGTAATGAATGTTATCTCGAATCCACCTACCAATGCCATGCTTATTCGTTGAACAGAAGTTAAAACTTAATACTAAAAATAACTTTCGGACCTACATTTCAATCAAACATGGGCTATCTAGGTCAGCTACTACCCACTTTAAGTAGTGTATCACTTCCTTAAAGGTTATGTAAGTGATGGTCGCCCATTTGGTGCTAGTAATCATGAGAGAGTGAAAACAAAACAGATTTAGTTCTGAGACTACAACGGACTAGAGTTTTCACACTACTGTATAGCTGACTTGTTGAATATCACAATAGACGGCATAACACGTCATTTAAGTGTTTACTTGTTGCTGGATGGTAAAAAAAATGTTATGTAGGCTCATGCCCAGTGTTCCTCGTGTGCTAAGAGTGTCATGTAATTCTCAATGTCATGATCACAACCCTCAGATGTCACATAACATGCAGAGTTAACTCTCACAACAAAACAAAACAGTGTTTTAAAATAAAACAGGTTTATGTTAGGACTGAAAGGTTAGTGTGGACGAGTCGGTAAAGCTCATGGTTGCTAAAACGAAAAGTCTCGAGTTCAAACCCTCGGGCAGATGAGGCTCGTTAGCTGGGGACCGCCACTCTTCAAGCAGAGACAACTCCAAAATCAAACACCTGCTGCCTTGTAGTTTGTTCTTGGTTGGACAAAGGTTATGGAAGCAAATCCAAAAAGAAAAGCAGGCTGAAATCGGAGTCAATGGCCTCTAACCAGTTGATAATTAGGCCTATATTTAATGGTGTTGAAAGGGATCCCTTCAAATACTAAAATTAAG